GAGCAGAAGTGCAGCAGCTGCCCCTGGGGAGAGGTGCTGTCACCAGGGCTGTGCAAGGAATGGCCAGAGCAGGAGCCATTCCTGTCACCAGCACAGCTCCTGCTGTGGCAGAAAGGAAGGGATGGAGCACTGTGAATGTCAGGGGAGCATTCCTGCTGCCCCAGGCACCAGCCTCTCCCATGGGTGGGCAGTGCTGAGTGCTGCTTTGGGCTGCACAGGGCTCTGCTTTAAAACATCCCACAAAAACTTCAGCGAAGAGGTCTCCTAAGAAAATCAGCCTCCAGAAGGAATGCATTTGCACCTCCATAGCAGGAGTATTGCATGAAGGTTAGTAGCCAAAGGATATTTTAGGAGCTGGTTCTGCCCAAAATTTTAGGTGTGCTCTCCTCTTTAATGGGTAATGGTAAGAGATATTTTGGAGAATGCCAGGATACACCACTTCTGTGCAGCCCATAGGTCTCATCTTTTCTAGATCTCTCCCTGTCACCAGCCAGGCAATTTCTCCCCAAAGGGAGCATGTGAATCAAGATGGCTTTATGTCCACCCTTTATTCCTTTCTGTATTTATTCATTAAGCAAGTGCATCTGAAGTTTTCCTAGCAGTAGGAAGAGAGAAAAAAACAATCCAGCAGTGATGAACAGACTATTCCTGTAGATTCTGTTCTGGTAAAGTATGAAGAATGACTCATAGAAAGAAGTACTTTACCAGGTTACATCGGGTCAGCGCTGCCTTTGTTGTACTTTAATCAGATCAGTCACAGTTGTGTAGGTCTGTGTTTTTAAAGCTTATTTCACTTGTTTTTATTTACCCAATACTCACTTTTCTCAGGGCATTGGAAACATGGACTATTTCTATCAGCAATTTCAATGTTTGCAATGCAGCTGCTACAACACAGAGATCATTTCTGGCGAGTGTTGAGCTGCTCACAGCAGTCAGGGGATGACCTTCCCTGTTGACAGCTGTCAATCACTTACAGCTTATGCTGTTGCCTTGGGATGAATCCCACTCTGTGCCAGAGGCAGGGCTGGTTCCACAGGACAAAAAAATACAGTGTTCAAATAAGAAAGGCAAATTTGAGGGGAAATAAGTGCTACCAGCAGGGGTTCAGGGGTTGGAGAACCTGAAACAGCTGCAGTTGCTGTGGGTGTTTGAGGAGCCGCAGTCACACGCGCTGCACTTGCGGACTCTGCGTCAGCAGCTCTTTGGCAACAGACCCAGCTCTATCACAGTCAATTCCAGGAACCCACAACCAGTCCTACCTCTGTCTCCTCAGACACTCTTCCCAATCTGTGCCTGCCTGGAAGGCTGTCACATGCCTAAGTCGTGTCTGCCAATCTGAAAATGTACTTGATCTTTTCAACTAGCAAAGAAATTCCAAGGAAGAAGTAGAAGAAGGTGTGAGTGAATAAAGATGTGCTTGTGCAGTTACTATACATGTGAGCTTTGGCTGCGTTTGATTTCGTTATAAGTTTGCAGCATTAGAGATATTTTAAATAGCCCATTTAGCAGTAGTTGAGAGTTTCTGCTAATCCTTGCTGAAGCCTTGATTTTTGACACAATACTTAATTGGCATGTTACTTCTCAGGGCTACCTGCAGCACGCAGAAAGTTTAAATGATTAATCAAGTTGTTTGAGCAGATTTCAACAGGATTAAGAATTAACTGGAGTTCACCAAAATTTTCCAGCTGAGATGCAGACCAAGGCTTTGATTCTACTCAGGACAGCAAGTTAACGTGTAACAAGACAGGTTATCTCATCTGGTCACTTCTTGTGATTTAGGCGTAAATGGTGCATAGACAGGTATTTTCATTGCAGCAATAGCTGCAGATTTCTGGCAGAAAAGTGATTTTCAGGCTCAGTCCTTTAAATACCTTCATTACTATTCGTTCACAAACTCCTTAAAAGAAAGGAGCATCTGAAAAGCAGTAACTGGCCATACTGTGTTTATCTCATTTGGTAAAATTCCCCTTTGGCTGGGACTGATAGTCCAGAGGTACACTGGCATGGTAGGTGGGGTTCTGCATCCCCCCAGCTGCCAGTGAAGTTCAGCTCTGGATCTGAACCTTCCAGCTCAGGTCATTGCCCGGTGACATGGAGCACTCACTGTTTTATGCTGGCAGGTAGAGTGAACAAAAAGTCCAAGGTTTGATTTGAAGTACAGCTCTGGACAGAGAAGTAACTGTAAAAAGGGAACTTTTCTCCCCTGTTATCAGCAAAAGTCTTTGCTGTTTTGTCATCTTTTCTCCCCTGTTATGTGTGTTATCAGCAAAAGTCTTTGCTGTTTTGTGGTGCAGATTTTGAATAATTGGATGATGTACCACAGGGGAGAGTAAAGCAGCTTCAGTTTTCCAACTGAAGAGAGGTTTCTGGTCTCAAGATCAGAAAAAAATAAATGACTGGAGTGTATTTAAACTAAGCCGATCTGACCACAATGACTGAATAAATCTGAAACCCCTCCATGTCATTTTACCATCAGCTCTTAAAGGCCCACTTAAGCTAGACAGGCAAACACTGGTTCCTGGCATGCTTTTATAGGCACTGTGTTGCCATTTTGCCTTGACTCATGTTTGTTGCTTATTTAATGTTGCAGTGATGACTTCCAAGTTGATAAATAAATAAAATCACAAATGACATAGTCTTAGGTCTCAGCAATGGAACATTAAGGTCATGGAAAGAGTGGAGCATGCAGTTCTAAGAGGTTTTTCTGTGGGATGTGCTGATGCTTCTTTGAAACTACTTACGGGAAAAATTATAGGTTGCAAAGCAATAAATCTGATCTTCAAGTGGGTTTTAATTTTGAAAAAGAACAATGTAAAAATTCCACCTTTGTGCTCAACAGCCCTTTTCTTTTAATGTGTCAGTTCAGAGATGTCTTACATTTACTGCATTGCCAAAGACTATTTTCTTCTGATTTCTTAACTCCAGTTACTTTTGAAGAGTCTATGTGACTCCAAGGACCAATGGTTGGACTTTGTTTCCTATCTTGAATGAGGAACATTCTTATTCCTGCTTTTTAGCTTTTATTTCTGAAGTACATTGAAAATGCTGATGTTTGACTGGTGGGAATTCTCAGAGAACCAAGCTTGTGTAATCCTGCTAGAGTGTCCCTCTGTATTTATGTGTTTAACTCCTTTAGGAGTAGTCTTATACCAGTTGAAGAGTCATTCATGTTGAGGTTTGATTAATGATATCGAAGAGAAGCAGTTGTGATAAAAAGCATTGTGGTCTTTGCCCTCCTTCCCACGGAGGGACAAGGATCCTGGCTCAGTTACACAGAATCACTAGGCTGGAAGTGACCTTCAAGATCATCAAGTCCAAAGAATATAAAAACAGCCCAGGAGGACAGTTGTCCTGAGGACAACCTGTCTTCCCACTAAAGACTGAGGCAAAGAAGCACCTCTGCCTTCTTCTCACCTGCAGGGACTGAGTTCCCTCCTGCATCCAGTAGAGAGCAAAGGTTGGTCTTACCCTTCCTTTTGCCATTACTATATTTGTAAAAACATTTTTTATTATCCTTTACAAAAGTTGCCAAATTAGGTTTGAACTGAGCTTTGGCCTCTCTAATTTTTCCCTACATGCCCTAGCAACCCCCTTGAATACTTCCTGAGAGACCTGACCCTCCTTCCAAAGATGACACATCCTCTTTTTATTCCTAAGTTCCTTCAAAACTTCATTGCCCATCCAGGCTCCACCAGTCTATTTCCCTTTCCCACCAGGCTGGGAAATAGACTTCACCAGTTTATTTGCCTTTCACTTCCCCTAATACTCCTTAGTCTTTCTACTTCCTCCCTGAGCTTGACCACCAGCAGAAGGAGATCATTCATCTGCTCACGCTGCAGGCAGGCATTTTCTGTAACTCCCCCTGGAACAACTGATAGCTCAAACAGTCCACACAGGAATGTGTCTGGACACACACATCCTTTCTGGAGGGTTCTATTTGGTACATACGCTTGTCCTAACAGGAATGGGTCTGGACACACACATCCTTTCTAGAGGGTTCTATTTGGTACATACGCTTGTCCTAACAGGAATGGGTCTGGACACACACATCCTTTCTAGAGGGTTCTATTTGGTACATACGCTTGTCCTAACAGGAATGGGTCTGGACACACACATCCTTTCTGGAGGGTTGTATTTGGTACTTGCTTGTACTAACTGCAGCTTTTGATCATGCAAAAACCATTGCTAACAAAAAACCCCAAAACCAAACCAACCAAATCAGAACAAACAACAAACTGAAGACCCCACTAGCAGGAGGAATCCCTTAACCCTGCCTGCAGAGCTGCTGTGCCCAGTCCGGGTCACCGCGCTCCCCTTTTAACCACCCGCCTGTGCTTGAGTGGCCAACGAGCTCCTGCATCCTGAGCTGTGGTACCTGAGCAGAACCTGATGTGGGAATCACTGGCATGTCAAAAGCATGGGGTACAACAGCGTTTTTGCAGGGTTTTTTCAGACAAAGCTGCATGCAGAATACATGCTTCATCCCAACACATTGCTGAGTTCTGGAGCTTTCCCCAGAGGGGCTGGGTGGGAAGCAGGGAATGCAGCAAAATGCTTTTGGAGAAATGAAACCAGTGTATTTCTGTGGCACCCTTGGGCACCTGTTATATTTAAAATTCTAAAAGAAGAATAATGTATTTTTGCATTTAATGCTTTTTTGGACTTCAAAAGAAACAGTTTTTAAACACTTCCATGTTTTGCAGAATAGCTGGAGTGATACAGAGGATACATAAAAATAACAATCTCCGAGACTTTAATGTCTAATCTGTTAGTTTGCATTTAAAATAACAATAAAAAATTACTTGAAGACTAGCTTGTTATTTCTAACTGTTATTGCAGCTTAGCATATAAATTTACAAAAACAGAATAAGATGAAGATGCAGCCTCATAATGATAGAAATATATCTCTCTGACAATGGTAGATAAGAGAGGTAGCAGAGATAATTTTTCTTCTTCCTGAGCTATTACTCATTAATAAGTTCCCTTCTTATTTCTTCTAGGCACCAGTAACAGGTGTGCAGTTTGGCCCTATGAGACTTCATCAAGATCAACTTCAGGTAACACAGCAGTTCAAACTGAAGTCTTCGTTTCTAAAATATCACACATGTTAGCTTAAAATTTATGACTGAAGTTTTTTGGATTATAGAGATCTTCACAGAGAATTTTGCTCAAGAGATAATGTGCACATAACAGATTTTTATAATGACATTCTATCTATGTGATATCCTAAAACCCCTGCCTGTTTTCTCCAACCACCTCTCAGCTCATAAAAATAGAGCTATGTAGTTTTTATGCTATCAGTTACCTTGTAATCAATTTAGTTTGTGCCTCATTTTGTATTTTACTAGTAGTAAAATTCTTAATCAAAATCTCATCAAACTGGTATCAAGCCAACAAAACTTGCAATACTATTACAAAATATATGAAGTGAGCTTGGCAAAATATATATTTTTAATTGTTCATTACTGACTGACAATAATTAATCCTCTTTTATCCCTATATTGAAAAATGGTTTATTTCGTTTGCCCCCTTACTTTGCCTGGGATGGACATGGGGTTTAGAGATCTATGACTCCTTTGGACTTCCTTTGGAAATTCTCCTATAATCCAAGGCATACAGAACCATTAATCATCCAAGATGTTCCTCTATCAGTAATTGCAAAACACCTCAGCAGAGGCAATGTGAACCTAATAATTTGAAAATATCTGTCTTAAGAACTGCAGTTTAACATCTTCTTCTTGAGCCATTGTCAGAACAGTAATATCATAAAAAATCAGATCTTAGGACATTCTCATCCAGCTGTTCCCCAAAATCAGAATTGTCCTTGAGTATTTCTGCCACCTGTATTGTTTTTAATGATTGTATCACTTTTGTCCATGCCCTGAAATGCTGCTGATTTATCCTGGCAATATAGCTGGCAGGTGTGAGGGAAGGAGAAGGTAGGCAACATCACCTACCAGAGTCAATTATACAACTCAGATCTCCTGACTCTGTGCTATTGTTGAAACCCATTCTTCCCCTCTTAAGGAGTCTTACAGATAAATTTCACTAAACACAGCCCAGACTATGATATGTTTTTTGCAAACAGTTTTGCAGGTCGCTGTAAAAGGAACCTGAACTGAATGTGTGCAAAATCCTTCATTCTTACAAAAATATGCAGTACATGGAAATGTTAAGATTTACTGGTAGACATTTCACCAGCCTGGTCCAAAGTGTAACAGCACTGGTGTTCCTAAAATCACACAGAAGATAAACAGCAGTGGGATGTGATGTGAGTTACACATGCTTCACTTTGCCTGACCAAAACATATCTGAGTGTGGTTGGATTCAGCTTCTGAAAGATTGGTGTCTTGGGACAATTGATGAAGTACTGGCCTAGTTACCCATCTGTCCCAAAAGGCTGCATGTGCTGAGCCATCCCCAAAATCAACACAGATCTGTAGTCTGCCATGCTGTATTCTTTTAGGCAAGAGAAGTTCTCTTCTGCAGACATTATCCTGACACAAAGCACAATCACATCAGTGAGTCTTCCTCAGCAGACTCTGTTCATCTTCTTTGCTGTATTAAACCCTAGATCTGGAAATACATCTTAAAGGAATTGGGCCTTATCATACTCTTAGTCTATAGGCATTGTGTTGATTTTAAAAAGGCTTAGAGAGATTAGTTACTGGCAATTACACGGCAAGTTAGGACAGAGCAAATAGTGGCTCACAGGTCTGACCTCCAGTTCTGGATTGCAGCTATGATAATCTCCTTCTGTCATATAAATCCCATGGCAGGCTTTGTGTAGGAGTCACACAGGGACATACTCCATATACAGTGGTACTGCTTATGAGTTAAGTCTGGCACGAGTTCTTCTTGACCAGCCTGTCCAGAATTTCCAGATATCCCACAGAGTGGGCAACATCCAATACTTTGAGGAATTAGGATGAGATGGAAAGGAAAGCAGACTTTTTGTCATGCCATTGAATTGAAGCAGCATTAAATACTGATTCACACGAGATGAACTGTGGGGTTTTTTGTTGTTGTTGGGGTTTTATTTTTTTCCCCCTTTTCTGGAATATGATCCTGGCAATAAAAATAAACCCCAAGAAAAAGGCTGAATGTGAGACAGTTTCAGAGAAGTGGACTCACTGTTGGTTCATGTACACTCTCTGAAACACAGGCATCTTCTCAGCTGATTGCCTAAGCTCTCTCTGTAGATAATGACAAGAGAGACAATTCCAAAACTACTTCTTCCCATGTGGATGTGCCATGGCTCTGGGAGACTGTTGCACCCACTTGAAACACCTCTATATACAGAAACTATTAAAAAAGCAGTGGGCTGTAGAAAGCAATTGTATTAAAAACAATTGATTAAGCCTCAAAAGTGACTTTAAGAACCACATTAAGAACACGGCAAAGTCACTGAAACTACTGTAAGTGTAAGACTTGTTTGTGATGCCCCCCTGCCTGTCTCCACCCCAGGTACTTTTAGTGTTTGCTGAGGAAGACGAGCAGAGTAACGGGTTCCGCTGGGCGTGTGACAAGGCTGGATTTCGCTGTAATCTTGCCAGGACACCTCAGTCTGCACTAGAATGCTTTCTAGATAAGCACCATGACATTATCATCATTGACCATAGACATTCCAGATACTTTGATGCAGAAGCATTATGCAGGTAAGCACCGTTTCAGTGTAATTAATGCTCAACAATGTAGTTAACACAGCATCAAAGTTTTGTTGCTTTTATGTGACGTTTTTGTAAACTCTATAGAGCATTGATTTTTTAGTTTTAGACAGGTGTGCACTGGCAGCATCAAATACTTTACTTCAGTGCTTTACATTGGATAGCAGCAGCATTTTTGGTTGTGTCCTAGGGTTTCTGAAGCTCCATGTGGCTTGGAGCCACAGTATACAAATTTGTTGCCATAGTGAACCATTTAATTTTCTTTTTTTTTTCTTTTTTATACCTGGTTCCTTGTTTTCACACTAAATCAACTGCAAAGATAGCATGTGCCACCAAGCACCTTTATAAATTCATTCACTTCATTAATGTTCTAATTTTTTTGAAATGTCACTTCCTCTTGGATAAGTCCCAGCACTAACAGCAATGTTTGGTGTGCACGTTTTCATATCTACAACATTTGAAAATACGTTATGAAGAGCAAAATTGCAAACAGATTCCAAAAAAAAATTTAGAAACTGCTGTGAAGTGTGAAAAAAGGAGGAAAGGATTTGCCTTTGAGTGTCTCCACAGAGCCTGGGCAGGCAGCAGAGCCTTGCTCCAGAGCCTTGGCAGTGAAATCGCCCTGGAACGTGTCTAGACTGACCAAGGCTGTGGGGTGGGGTGCCAGGGTCAGACTGTGTGCCCTGGGGGACTGTGCTGGGGAAAAGGCTCTTGCTGAACTGAGGCAAGTAGATAAGATCTTTGTCAGGCCAAGACTGGGTAGCAGTGCTGTTCCTTGTGTTCCATTTTTACCAAACTGTCCCAAAATTCAGTAAAATGCACCTTAAATGAGTGAGGCCAAGCCCTTAAAACAAGTCCATTATATGCTGTTTCAGAGAGAATATTTTGTGCTATTCCCCCACTGAGAGTACTTGAGCTGTAGATTAATCTACGTTCATGGAGTTTCAGATATCATTTATTCTCCTTTCTTAACAGCAGGCTCAGGATTTGACTTTTGTTTTGTTGTTAAATGATTTAAAAGATTTTAAGAAAAGTCTATCTGAAGTTTCTGTAAAGTCATGTTTTCTGAAGTGTTAACTTAAAAAGAATTTAAATGGTTTGCTTTTTATTTAAAGGTCTATCAGAACAAAGAAAGCCTCAGAAAATACAGTCATTATTTGTGTAGTACAAAGGTAAATACTCATATCTTTCCTTTCACCTGTGATCAAAACTGTGAATCTTACCATTGTAAAAGTTAACCTGAAAACCATTAACATAAAAAACCTGAATTAGAAGTTCCTACTGTGCTAATAATAATGTGCTGTACCAGAATTTTTACTATACTTGACCATAGGATTGGGACAGAAATTGTTTTTTAATTTCTGGGTTTTTTACTCAAGACTCTTGCTTTGAGTTTTGTTTTGGGTTCCTCCTTGCACTCCCCACCATCACTGCAGGCTTTCAGAGTATGTTTCAAACAACTTCTGAAACATCCTGTACAAAACTGTCTTGCAGATCTGTGTTTTGACCCTTTCTTAATCTGCCTTTCAGTATTATTAATCTCAATGAAAATCAGAGATCTGCTGAGTATGAAAAGTGATATAGAACAATTTGATCAGTACAAAGTATCATCTGACCACAGCAGTTCTAAAAGCAAGAGAGATTATCCCATCTCAGTAAAGTACTATATATGCTGTTTCCTTCCCCCTCCTTTGAAAACATTACTTATAAAATAATGTAAAAATAAAGAAATTCTGTATATTTGATGAAATGAAATAACTGGAAGATAATTCCCTCCAAGTATAATTTGGGAATGGCAATTTCTCAGAACACATTAATTCTGCCAACAGTTCTGAGGCATTGAAATTTACCATTAAAAATACACTACCATCTCTAATACCATCTCTTAAAAAAAAAAAAAAAGACGACCCTAATTAAACATTTCAAGATCCAAAACTTCCTGCATAAATGAAAGGTATTGTGCTATCTGCTAAACATGACAAGCTTCAGTCTGCTTATTGACAGAAACCTCCCATAATGGCCTTTCTTCTTGACTCCAGCCATGCATTTATGTATGTTGAAGGGTCTTTTCACAGTTAGCATTGCCAGATTATTCAGATACTTCATTTGGGAATGTGTCCCAAATGTGACTTACTAGAAGGTAGTGTGTAGGCAACACTAGAAAATCTATCTTCATTCAGGCACCTTGAGTTGCCCATCTAAGATTTGGTACATTCAGATAACAAGTAATTTCCTAAAACTTTGGCTGTGCAGACTTTCAGGTGCATTTCTGGCTAATGCCAGCATAAACAACAAGGATCCAGTACAGAAAAAGTCCAATTATCTAGCTCATTAATTGGTTTCCTTGAAGCATTAGAGTTTTTTTGATGTAAGCAGCTCATTACATGCATGAAGAAAAATAATATTTTGGCTTATTGATGCCAAAGATGAAAGCTTATTAAAAATGCAAAAAATATATTTTATTCCTATATCCTGTAAGGATCTAGCAGTATTAGCCTCAGTGTGACATCTGGGCTACAAGTAGATGAATAGATTGTGAAATGTGGTCTGAGTTAATTACAAAATCTCTGACTTATCCTCCTTGTTTCAAAGGCACACTGATCGTGAGGAGTCGTCAATATTGCCCCTGATCTCTGCTGGCTTCACAAGGGTATGTGCTATACTCAGCTGCCTTGCTCTGACATTTCCAAATTGTCATGCAAGAAGCTCTCCAGAAGTTTGGCTGTCAGTCACCATTTGTGTCAGTGATCCAACCTGTAGATGTTTTTTGTGCTGCTCATTCTTCTGTGTCCCAATTCTGAACGTTGACATGACACTCTTGGGGATGTAAGGAGTGGGACTGAGACTTCTCTACTTCATACATTTATTTCAGATTAAATACATAATCCTTTCCTTGAAAAGTTGACATTGACAAATTGATTAGTGGCAGAGTCAGAGAGCAGCTTGCAGTGAACAACAGAATGTGCTGTGGGAAATTTCTTCTATCAAATGCCAGTTCCCATTGTAAACAGGCTTCACACACTGTCGAGTGTTATTAGCTATTGTTTGGAGGCACCTGAGAAGAATTGCATTGAATCTGTTCCTTGGCAACTGTTCCAGCTGAGCAGAAAAGGTGCTAATTAGTGCATCAGTTAAGTGGGTACCTTATTGCCTTCAGTTGACACTAGAACAACGTTCGGCCTGATTTACAGCACAACTCCAAATATTTGGTTGCATGCTCACCAGATTTTTGCTGTTCCATCACACTCCATTTGCACCCATCTGCTTAATTCTAGTATGGTCCTGATCCAGGAAATGCTACAGCCTGAAGATAATGGCATTTGTATGAAAAGAGTCATTCCAGAGGGCACATAAGTAATTCAGTACAGGTTCTGAATTATTTATGGATCAGAGCCTTGGAAATGGGGCTAATGGCAGAACATAGAAATTTTGTTTAGCAGCTTAGATTGTGGTAGCTTACCTGTGATAATCAGTTGTCCTGCCCAAAATATCCAAGTCATCCATGTCTGTGGGGGTTTAGTGTGAACAAAGATTTAACATTCAGGCTCATACCTGGTAAATATGAAATGGTTTTTAAAAAGTGAAAGATACTGAGATCATTGCTATAAAAATCTCAAGGTCGATAAAGGTATATTTCACAGGAAATTTTATTTTCATCTATATAGACAATTTGGGATATTAGCGATTGGAAACTCATAATTTCAAATTTTAACTACTTGAGACATAAGATTTTTTTCATTCTTTTATTTAAGAAAGCTAAAAGTAGATTTTTAAAAAAATACATTGATCCTGCTGACAATCACAGAGAATAAACAGGTTGATTAAACCTCATTGCCATGAGGATCTGTCACCTTTTCAAAATGCAGTAACTTGAAAAGTTTTGCTAGTACCAAAAAATAATCTCTCATTGCTTGTGTCCCAGCATGTTCATTTTTGGCATATCTACTCCTTTTCTGATTCTTTAGTAAGCAAAAGAAATCGGAGCTTCAAATCCTTGCAGACAGGAATGTGTATTAATGAAATATTTCTAACCTTTTATTTGCAGAGATATGTAGAAAATTCTAGTAGAATGGCCTGCTACAATGAGTTGATTCAGCTGGAGTTTGGACAGGTGCAGGCACAATTCAAGCTAAGGTAATTTTACCAAAAACATTATTAACACAGAATTTTCAATTTTGCCAGATCCTTAATAGAGTGTTTATTTTAATCTGCAGTAGTTAATTATAGAATGTCAGTTACCTGAAGAAAATACATTAATTGTTAGACTACATTATTCAGTATGGAGTTGTAATACTTTATTATCATATATAAGAATTAAGTGGATAAAATTTTTTGGATGCCTTTTTCTTTTTTCTCCAGGGCATGTAATTCATTATTTACAGCATTAGAGAAAAGTCAAGAAGCCATTGAGATCACAAGTGAAGACCATGTAATACAGGTTTGTTCCAGTCATAAGTATAGAAAATTTCTCTGTGTTTTATTTCTTCTATGATTACACTTACCCTTTCTTACAGCACAAGAATCTAATCTAACTTAATGGTTCTAAAAGATTGAAGTGAGTTTAGCTGTCAAGTAACATTTTCTCCATTTAAAGTGTCTGTCATAAATCAAATAAATTCTAAGGGAGATTGTTGTTTCTCAATGAATAAAGATTTATTCTCTTGTTTCTATTTTTTGTATTGCTTCCTCATCTCTATTATTCATTCCTTCTCTGTATCAAGAATGAATGCAGCCACTGGCTTATGGGCATTCTATTCCAAAAATATTTTATGTTAATTTGATGCTCTTTAAAATCTAATGGATGCTCTATTCAAATAATTCTACTTTTTTTTCCTAAAATCTGATACTGTTTGATGTATCAGAATTTTTGGGCCAACTGTTTTTGAATGTAATCCTCTCTTAGAAATTTCTCTAAAGCAGGGAAAAGAAATTGTGCTTGGTTTTGCAGTTCTGAAAACCATCATCTTTTTGAAGGAGTTAGTTCCATCCCTAGCCATGAAGCAGTGACAAGTGATTTTATTATCAGTGAAGAGCTTGAGTCTAAGCCTCTGGGAATTATAACATCCATACAAATTGTACTTTCTTGAGCCTGGCAACTTCATTGAAGGATGTGCCTTCTTCATCCCTTTTAGAAGAATAACAGAACACATCCTGAAGTTGTTTTAAATACACTTTTTTCAGACCAAACTCTGTCCCTCTCCTGACAGCCCCAGAGTATGAGAGAAGTGACACTTGCAGGAGTGCTGGAGCTCCAGCAGGCACAGGGAAGAGTTCCTTTGGGAAGGAGCTTTTAGAGGAGAACCATTAGAAGTAGAGTGGCACCTTTTCCTTTCTCTCGTATGAAAACATTGTAAGTTGTAAAGGCTTTCAGATGCTGCTTTGCCAGGACTGTGCTTGTGACTCAGCAATGAGAGGCCAGGAAAGGGTGGGCTGCTGGTGCCAGTCGTCAGCTTTATTGGGCAAGGGCCAAAACCTGCAGTGAAATGCCACATGCACTTCAGGGAGAAGCCTGCTTTATTAAATCCCACTGCTTCCACTCTGCTTGGCTGGGCTGTGCCTGGACAGGGGGATAGGGATGGTTGGCCCTTACACAGAATAAGATGATGAATTTGCCAATAGATATGGATGGTATTCCAACATCCAGTTTGTGATTTTTTAGGAACACTGAGGTAGGTTTGAGGTTTATTGGTTTGGGAACTGACAGAGCCAGTTTTTCAGGAATTTGTTTTCTGTGGCTATGTGATTCTCAGCTGTTTGTATAATTTCCTCTCTTTGCTGACATGCACACACTCTGCACAACTATTCTAACATGGAAATTCCTGGTTTGCTTCACAAAGAAAAAATGTGAGCATCTCTCTCAGGAATAGTACATGCAGACATTTATTTCAGGCTGGGAAAGAAATCTCCTGGTTAAGCAAGCAAAACAAGGCATTCTCTTGTGCTTTAAGTATACTGTTGAATGGGTATTTGTTTTTGTTTTTTTTTTATCTCACAGTACGTCAATCCTGCTTTTGAAACAATGATGGGCTATCAAATAGGTGAACTAATAGAAAAGGAATTAACAGAAGTGCCTATAAATGAAAAAAAAGCTGATTTCCTAGATACTATTAATTCCTGCATAAAGATAGGAAAGGTGAGTAATGGCATTGTATCACTTTTATTTGTTACCTGTAAAAGTTGTTATAGTCCAGCAGTGAAACAAATTGTGACTTGCAGCTTCACAGACACATAGCATTTGGAACTTAAAAACAGGAAGTAAAAAATTTTTGATTTTTAAAGGCTTCTTTCTCTTTTCTTGCTTGGTAGAGATACTTGTTTTACAAAAATAAGTGACTTGCTGCATTTCTTTATAATTTATGCTGTTCATAGCAAATGGTGTGGGAGTACCGAAGAAAAATCAGATGGATGCACATGTTATCTAGTGCTATGTAAATGAGAAAAGTACCATATTGAAGAATTTCACCATGAAATGTGGAAACTGATTTGCAAGTTCAGAATGTAAAAATACCAAGGAGACATTTGCAATATCACTTGAAAGTGATAGGCAGTGCCAGCTGCCAGTCTGTTTAATTCCCTAATGGCATGGGAGCTGTCTAATGTCTTTAGAAAGGTTCATTGCTCAGAGATGAGCTGGTTGCTGATGTCATTGAACATGACCCAGTGCCTTGTAGGGAGCAGATCATGAAGGCTGCACAGAGAGATTTGGGAAGGGCTGTGTTTGATGATGCTCCATGGCCCCGGCTCATGGGCACTGTCCGTGGGAAGCAGCGCAGCATGGGCATGGAGCAGGGAGATGCCAGAGGGAATCAGGGCACTCTGGATCTAGGCAGGGATGCAAAAGCACAAATGCAAGGTTGTGGTGAGTCAGCTCTGGAGGGCAGGGTGCTGACACGGCACTCAGTGGCAAAAGCTGGGTGCAGATTCCACGTGCATTTCAAGGAGATGGTGTCGCTCATTTCCAGGTGTGTTGGCCTGTTGGAAGAGATGCCAGCAGCAGACAGTAGTCTGGATTGTGGTGCTTCACACTTCTGTTGCCTGACTGAAGTTATTTCAGTAAATGTGTGCAATACAAAACTGATGTTAGGAGGGAGTATTTATTAAGTTATAATTCAAATACATTAGATGTGTCAGGCTTTAAATCCACACCATCAATTCTCAAGATATAAAGTGATAACATTTTTTAATATTTTAGTGAGGTGATAAAAATTTCATTAATGATGGCAATATATTTTACTCAATGAATGATAGAAATCTAAATGTAATTCATCTCCTTCCTTGTACTAATTTTATTCCTGACTGTGTGGCTTTAACAGTGAGGGCTAATGAAATGCTGCCTACTTAAACCTGTCTGTCTGGAACAGCTTATTTTAGGTGGATATATTCTGTTTGCAGGTGTTCTGTGTTTCCCTCTGGAACATTTTATAATATGTAATCTATGCAACCTTAAATTTATATTTTAATATAAAATAGAATTGCCAATAAATTATTACAGGAATCATTTGCAAGTAGAGGTTAACTGTGAGGAGCAACCTTGGAAATAATTGAATTTTGAAATAATTTGTGTCAAGATATTACAGCATTTTCAGCGGTGCCTGAGTTACCTGGATCATCCTGACATAGTCTTTTCAGACTTGTGATTTCTTTATATCTTAAGTTTAGAAGACTTCTCACTACAATAGGCTATATTTTGGCTACAGCAAAGTAGGTTAGTGTAGGTTACAGCATATTAAAAAAAAAGGAAACTGTCTGCTGCTGTGGTAATCTCCTGTCAACAGGAGATTTGTTTTGAACAAATATGGTACTATGCTTAACAAAATAATAAAAAATAATAAGAAAGCAAGATTTTCTGATCTTTGGAAAAATCTAAGCTGCATGAGATTTATCTTGTCTTTAAATGGAATTTAGGAAGATGGACTCTCACAGCATTTCACCTCTTGTGCTGACAAGTATAGTACTGTGAGCAAGTTCAGTATAATAAAACAGAAGTTCATAGTGTTATACTCAAAAATTGGGAATTGCAAGGTGTATAGGGATCCTGGGGTCAGGATGTTGTTTCTCTTAGCAAAAGCATATCTCTGGAAGTTCATTTTTTGTTACTACAGCTGTCTGTAATTTGCCAGAAGCCAATGTTACTGAAATGTTCATCCATCCATACTTGAGGAGTTAAAAAAGAGTTGTGCTTTTCTTTGTTCTTCTGTTTCATGATTCAAATTGCATCCATTAAGATGAAATATGCAATTCTGACTAGAATTCTTGGTGCCTCTGGTCTCTGCAGTTTGCTCTTAGGTTTGCTTTTTCTGCAATGAGATGAACACCTACTGATAAAGCAGACAAGCCACGCAATTCCTCTCACCCTTCGGGAACTGTTTGCAAGGTCTTTCCAGAGGGGGTGGGAGAGCAATCACACTCAGTGATAAAGGTCCATGGCAGCACCTTCCTAGCTTCAGTTCTGTGAGATTGTGTTCATGGTGTTTATTTTGGTTTGCTGTTTTCTGCAAGCAGTTTGCTGAGCTTTGCTGTCTAGTGCAAGGAGCCCCAGTCTGAAAGGAAGGCTGAGCTGGGGGCTCCTCACTGTGCCTGTGAGAGCTCTCAGTGGATAGATGTGTGCCTTGGCCTTCTTCATGGAGTCTGGAGCCTCATCCCTGATGCACTCTGTGGGGAGGGACACTGTGGGGTTTGCTGGGTGTGCTCTTTGCTCTGGTTTCATCCCAGCACCCCCCTGCAGCAGGAGCTGGTCATAGACCTTGTGTGGCTCCAGTGCAGACACAGCCATGGGCTTGACTGACAGCATGCCTTGGGAATAGCTCTTCTCTGCTGGATTGCTGACAGAGGCTCTGGGAGGGAGCATATGGTGTTCCTAAAATATGGTTAAGTGACATCCCTGGGAGAACTTCACCTACCAGCAGGAGTTTGGCTTGGACCTCCTGCTTCTCAGAATTGCACTGACCTTTTCCCTCACACATTTCCTGCCACAGTTTCACAGGTTTTAGAAATTCACAAGTTTAAAAATCGATCTGTTGACTAAGAAGAACACATTAGTGAATAACCTGCCTTGAAAAGGATATGCTTTCAATGTGGGAATTAACCAATCTGTAGTTTATGACTTCACCCCTTTGTGCACATCCTGGGTTTATTACCTGGGTTAGAGATCAATTACTCATCTCTGCCTCATCCTGGTTGTCAGGAAACTATTGATGTGCATACTTTTAATTATGAGAGCATTGAATTTTGTGGTGCTTGCTTTATCTTCATTTGTATTCCTCAAGCAGCTCACGGAAGACATTATGCTCACTACACAGTTTGTTATTCACAGTTCTCTTCTCTGACAGATCCTCAGAAAAGTCTTTAATATTTTTATTCTGTACAGCCTGTCACCATGCAGTTCTCTGTGGGCTGGAGTCTTTATTTGCTGTCTCCATCCACATAAATGTGAAATTATTCTCTCTGTACCTGTGTTCTGGCCAGCTTGACTGTGAAATCTGTCAGTCTCACATAAATAAATACATATTATGTGGCTCATGAGGGTGTTTTCACATACATAAGATCTGATCTACAGTTTGTTGAGCTCTTCTGAAATACAGCAATTGGCGTGAGCAGTTTGTGTTAAGTGAACATGGAAAATGGATTTAATGATTTATTAATCACTTGGTATTTAGTAAATGCCCGGCTCAAAATATGCATCTGTTAAAAAAGACCACCAACAGCTATTCTAGGGATGGAAACACATGGGCAATCCCAAAACCAAGGTGTTTTTAGAGGGGAGACAGAATCCAGGAGCTATTCTACTGGGCTCTCTTCTGCTTTAAGAGAAACAGAATAAATCTCTGCTGCATTTGATAGTAAACTGACAGTAAATGTGCTGGGATAGCAAAGCACTTTTAGTCACAGATACATTTAATGTTAACCAGAGATAAGACATCCCAGCCATGCAGGAGATGGTGTACCCAGCAGGGAAGGTGGTGAGGGTGCTGTAACAGCTTTGCAGTCCCCTTCCTGTCCTGGGTCCCTGGGGAACCCACACCTGCAGCCCAGGGGGACTTTGCTCCAGGCAGGGGCTGGTCTGAGCTTCTCCTCTCACAGGCTCTTTGCCAGCTCTCCCCAAAATGACCTGCAACACCATTGAGGTAGGATGGGGAAGAGAATGCAGCTAATTCCCACAGCTCCTGGGTGCCAGCTGTTGCCATCAGTGTTCCAGTGTTCCTCCTCTGGAAGTTGTCCATCCATTGGCAGCAACACAGTGACCTACAAGTTACTTACAGGGAAAAATTTGAGGGTTTGAGCACAGTTTAACCAATCCTGCCTGGTTTTGTAGTATGAGGCAGCTTTCAGTGAAATAAGGTATGGAGCTACAGCTTCTCTTCATGTTTTATCTGATCTTTCTTCCACTTGAATTACTTTTTCAGGAATGGCAAGGAATGTACTATGCGAAAAAGAAAAATGGAGATAGCATACAACAAAATGTGAAGATACTACCTGTCATTGGACAGGGAGGGTAAGTGTGAAAGCTGAAGTCATGATTTGTGTCTGAATGAAGGCTCAGTTTAGAGTTCAGTTGCCTCCAGCAGATATTGGATTATCCTGCTGCTGAGTATAATGGAAGCTTGTGCAAGGAAGGGTGCCTCAGACCTCTGTGCTTAATTCCTTGGGGCAAAATCAACTTTATATGTTGTGTGCAGGGAAAGTGAAATTCTAATTCTCCCCTAAAAGGAGCCAGAGATGCAGCTGTGCTCAGTTGTGACTCTGACTCTTCTAATTCTCCCTGAAGTGCAAGTGCACCCTCTGATCTTTCTGTGCTTTGTGTTGGTGTCACCAGGACCTATATCCTGTTTCACTGAGCACCTCTACTGTGTCCTTCCATGCTCACTCTTCTGTGCTCCTTTCATGCTCCTTTTCTCCCTTGGCTCTTGCCAAGGGTTGTTATGGGATGAGGTCACTGTGTGCTCTGATCTTGGGCAAGATTCAAGCATGTCTAGATTTTTATGCAACTTCCACTTGGTCCCCAAATCCAGCCTTTGGAGCACCCAAGTGTCAGCACTGAATTAGAGCTGAGGTTTGGATGGGAATTAACATGCTGTTTTTTGCCTGCAGAAAGATTAGACACTATGTGTCAATTAGTAGACTGTGCAATGACAACAATAAGGTAAGTGAAAATAGTGCTATGCTCACTTTAGTTTGAGCCCTAAGTATAGCAAAATAATGGCAGAGTTCTGACTAACTGGGTTTCTCATACTGAATTGTAGGTGGAGAAGACATGTGAATGTATTCAGGCTGAATCTCAGACAGGTACGACATCTCTTCTTTCCCAAGAACTGGAGAACATACCTGGGGAGGGAATAGAGGCCACTGTTAGTGATTTGACTGAAAACACAGAACGGTCCTGTTTACCTAGGGATAAGCTGAGAATCCAACTCAAAAGGCAGGAAAATAAATACAAGCCCCCTCCCTACCTGCCTCACTTACTTTAGAGGTGACAGAAAGCAGCCCACCTTTGAAAACGCTGTCACAGAGCCCTGAGTTGGTGCCATGGCATTGCTGGGTTCAGTGCCACAATTCAGTTGTTGGTGGTGGATCCCTGTGACAGGATTAGAAATGAGAAGGATGCTGTCATGTCATCGTGCTGCTGTGGCTGCTCGGTAGCACATGGCACCTGTGTCTGCATTGCTTTGAGCTGCTTTGTGGGGAGCTTGCCTGTGGGTGGAAATGAGGATGACCAACACTACAATTCACCCTCACCCCACATATCAGCACTTCAGTTAGGGCATCCTTGGCATCCATGCTGTTGTTAACTGTAGTTTTAGCACAGGCTGAATCCCTAAGGAACCTGGGATACACTGCCCCCCTTGCTGACGTGTGCTCTGCTGTGGCCCACCAGTGCCTGGTGGCAGTGGTTACTTGTGTTAGCTCAGGTGTGCTGCACAAGTTGTGTTCACAACTGCAGTTGTGTCACAGTGGCAAGAGAGGAGTTTTTTTCTCCAGTTTCCTTCTGCACACACATTTAGGCATGTTCTGCCTGAGAACTTGACTGGGTTCAGGACAGTGTAAGGGCAAGAGCTTTAAAAGGCACTTTGATCAGCTGTCATCTGCTGAAGCATTGAGGTCAATGTCAGCTGCTGCCAGGCTTTTCTGAGCTTCAGTTCCTTTAACATACATCTTAAGCAAAACTTTGTGTCATTATGCAATATCATTTTCTTCACAGATACTCAGACTTGCAGACACAAAGACATGAGGAAAGGATCCCTGGATGTCAGATCCACAACATCTCGTGGGAGTGATGGTATGTGAAACAACTCATCGTGTTGGGTCTGGCTGTGTTGGAGTTGTCGTGCAAACCCAAAACCCAAATTATTACATTTCTTACCTCTTCCCTTGATAGAGATATGAAGATATTTCTTTCTTAATTTTGTTTTCTTTCACTGTGTTATATTTTGCTCTGTTAGATCACCCCAAACTTGATAGATGAGTCGCATACTCAAAACTGTTGCTGACACTTACATGCTTTTGTTAAATCATCCCTCATCACAGTCTAGGCAGCATACACTAGTGAAGCATGTCTGTGGCAGTGAGAATACAGTCATATTTCAGTATAGCAAAAATAGCATTGACTCTTCTCCTTAAGAACTGCTCAGCACAATAAGTAACAGAGATGTCTGCATTTTATAGGTAGCACAATATCCAGAAAAATCTCATCTTGATCTTTTCTTTGCAGAACCAAAATTGCTAACCAATATAAAACATTTGTTTTTAAATTTCCAATGTAATAGGCCAAAACCTCTGCTGTTTTTATTTGGCATAGGTACCCACTTCAACAGAGCTTCAGTGATTTACCTCAGCTTGGGAGCTGACTCATTATGACTTGTCATACTGCATCAGGCAGCAAGAGTAGTTACATCCTGTAATAATCTAAATTCAGTGGTTACCTACCTGTGCCTGCCAGTTTATGCATATCTGTCTAGTCTTCTAACTGAGTTTGTAACTGAATATTTAAAATAATAAAGCAAAGCCATGATTTTGCCAGGCTGTTACAGCCACTTATCTCTAATCAGGGACATCAGTGGTTCAGCCAGCATCTCTTTGCAGTTGTGCATTCTGCAGTAGATTGCCTCTGAAAGGCACAGCAGGGTAAGCAGTGCAGAAAAGGCCTCAGGAGTTCCTGGCAGATCCTCCTGTCCAGCCTTGTCTCTGCAATCAGGGTACAAATTCTGCTCTGTTTTGCACACAGGCAGCTCCCAGCGGCGCCGCTCCTCCATGGCCAGGGTCCATTCCATGACTATCGAGGCTCCCATCACCAAGGTAATGTCACTGCTGTGCTGTGCTGCTGCACTGGGGCATGAGGCTCCAGGACAGCGCCAGCCTCTGAGCTCCTTCCCTGTTCCTCCCCCCACTGCTGTAGCTCCCAAAGGCAGATACTCTGAACTAAGATCTCCCAAACCTGCTTGCTAGAGTGTCATCCATGGAGTCAGCCATCACATGATCCTTTCTAAGAAGGAGGGACTGGAGTTTGTCCTTCTTACTTATGCAATGTCAGCTGCTTTCTGAAACCATTCAAATATTTGTCAAAAATCAGCTATTTAACAAATTGTGAGAGGCAAGTGGGAGAAAGTTACATTAAATCCATTCAGAGACATTTTGAGGCTGTGGCTTGGAAGGGAAAGTCAGTAATGAGATTGCTATCTTTAAGGCAAATATCTTATTCCCAGAGTCAGTAGCTAACGTTAGAATTTCAGTAATGTCCCTTTAATTTTGATTTTCCCCCATGCAGATTAAAGTTGTTTTGTTATTTTCCTGAGTTTTCCATAGTAGTTAATGAGTGTCTCTGTTTTTCAAAAATCACTTCTAAGTTCACAATATGTCTAATGCTACATTAGGTAATAAACATCATCAATGCTGCACAAGAGAGCAGTCCCATGCCAGTTGCAGAAGCTTTAGACCGGGCTTTGGAGATTTTAAGAACCACTGAATTGTACTCTCCACAACTGGGGACAAAAGATGAGGATCCACATACAAGTGACCTTGTTGGAGGGCTAATGACAGTAAGTACTTACTGCCACAAGGAGCTCTTGATTAATGTTCACTGCCTCATTTTCCCAGTTACTTGATCTTTATCATCTGCCATGTGCTCTGCCTCTACAACGGCAGATTTTCAGGAGAAACCACACACGTCTTTTTGTGGGCTTTCTCTCCCTACTTGAATAATGTAGCTCTGAACATGGGAAGAAAATTGACCAGCCCCTTTAAATCTTTTTGTGGGCTTTCTCCCCCTACTTGAATAATGTAGAACATGGGAAGAAAATTGACCAGCCCCTTTAAAACATTAGTTTAGCTAAAAATGGAAAGTAAAACCAAATATTTTTTTCAATATGATTCGTTTGAGTAAGGTATAGATGAGAGAGGAAGAAAGAAAGAGAAGCAGATATTTAAAAAAAATTATTAATGAGGATTAGAATGACATGGTTTTGGGGGGCTTTTCAGTCTATCAAAAGAATGTTTTCAGAAGAATGCAAAATACATACTATTGTTGCTGTTTCTTGGATTATATTTGTACCTGTAGCATAGTACCCAAAGCAGAACAAAGGGCACTAATGAAGCAAGAACTGAACTCAAACCTTCAGAGCCTGGAGTCTGACCCTCCTGATGGCAACGAGATGAGTTTAGATGAATGTTACCTGTGCCCTAAGGATATGTGCTCTCATCAGTCTATAGGTTGCATATGAAAGGCTACATCAGGACAAAAATTTACAGTGTGTTGGATGCCAAAAGGCTCACAAAATGTGAGCTTTTCAGAGATGTCTCTGGGCTATTATAATTTCATGTTGGAACTATCACTACACCTTTGCAGTATCCATCAGACTCTTTAAATAGTTTATGTGTATTTTTACTTTTAAAAATACCACAGCAAATATCTAATTAGGAGAAACATGTGGGAGACTCCAAGAATTCCAGGAGAAGACCTGAATGGTTCATACTGGGTTGTATTTACTAACTGGGTTGACAAAATTTATTGTTACCTTAACTACAAAAATATAGGAAGAATATTGATACATATAATCATTGTCTTGAAGTGGATCTTTTCTCCTGCTGAATACATAAGAGTCCATAAACTCAACTGTTTTCTCCTTTTTTTGTGGATTGTTGACTCTTACATGCATTTGTATTCTGATTGTATTTGGTCCACGAACATGAAGATAACAATATTGCAAAACATAAAATCTTTACTAAAAATAAACCCAAGTCTTTTTTATGAAGCAATAAGAAAAGCTGAGAAAATTAATTTGAGAGCATATGGCATGGTATGAGTTTTAAAGTTATTGGAGAGGAACGTTTTTCCATCAAAGGGTCTGCTGAAAACAGTATTATATTTTTCCATTTGCATTCAGAAGTTATATCTGAAAAGGAAACAAGTAATATGTTATTGGATTTGAACTCTCAAGCAGGAAGGGCATTTGGAGTTCAGAGATAGATTTACCAGATACAATTACACCTGCTATTTCAACTCTTAAAAACTAATCTTTGATTCTAAATGATAGGCAGCATCTGGTGACCTAAATATTTGTGTCATAGCAGTTCTATTGAACAGCCACTGTTGTACTTCCTTTCCTTTTAAATCACAAAACTCCAGACTTACTTACAAATGTGAAAATAAGAATTAGATATAACAGCTCTTTTAAGAGCAGATATTCCATGTTCAGATACAGGATCCACATTTAATTCAGCTATAATTGGTGTTAATAACATTTTTCATAAGGAGCATTCAGAAATATTTTTATTTAAACACTGGTTTTTTACATCATGGACTAAACATGAGCTTACAGCTGTAACCTCAAAAGAGCAAGCAGGATTTGGGCCACAGCATTTAGAATTATAAAACTAAAAGTAAATATTAAATACATAATTCTGTTAGTTTTAATCCATCATCTCAGTGTTCACATCTAGGCATCATGCCAGAATTAAGCCTAGGAGGCACTGAACTGAAGAATAAACAAGTACACATTCTGTGTGCTAGAAAGGAAGCCTCAGCAATAATTTGTTCCTGAGATTCTCGTGAGATTCTCATGCTGCTGAGGTGACCTGATCTGCCAGTACCAGGGCAGGAGAGCAGGGGATGTCTCCATCCACTCCCTCCCACTGCCCACCTTTGCTTGCTGCTGGAAGTGTGTGGTGGACACGCCGTGTGTGCTTTGAGGCACAGACCCACAGCTGGTGTGCATGTTGGCCAGGCAAAGACAGATGTGAGGCTGCAGTTCTAGACCTCCATCTGCACCTGAGAAGCCTGACTTTTTACCTACCTGAGTCCATGTTGTATCCCCTAGCCTGCAGTTCCTCATCTGTTACGAGCTATGTGTAAGCCAGGTGAATCTGAACAGTACAAACAAATAAGGGAGAGGCAGCTCTGATGGCTGACAGGCTGCAGTCAGGCGTCTCTGAAGTTGTTGTGCTACTACTTGGTGTCATCATCTCGTAGACCTATTGTGCTATACCCTCTATTTAACTTGCAACTTTCATTTAACAGGATGGTTTACGAAGATTATCAGGGAACGAATACATATTGTCAGCAAAACGTAAGTTTTAATTTGGCAGCTAAATTAATTTGAGATACTAAAACATGTTCAGAAGTTTAAGAAACGGGAAATGTGATTAGATGTCCTTTTTAATGAGCATTTCTTTTTGTTTGGGGGTTTTTTATCTGTAAGCATTTTTCTGCAGCCTTACTGAGCTGGGTGTTACTACAGAAGAGAAAGCATGGTCATTCAGTAAAATTATATCTCGCTATTACATATCCTACTTAATATACTGTTAATAAATACATATAGTAATAACTGTATTCTTCAAAAGAAACTCATCAGGTTGCCGGCAGTCTGAGCTCTCCAATCTCCCTCAATGACATCCCCCCACGGATAACACAGGCAATGGAAAATGAGGAACAGTGGGATTTTGATATCTTTGAACTTGAGGCTGCCACCCATAAAAGGTCAGTAAATGCAAGAGCTCATAAACGGAAGCTGCTGAAAATTGACTTAAATGTCATCCTCTAATCAGATCCTTAAGTTATCTACCTGTGCTTTTACAACTGAATTAATTTTATTTTCAGTGTCAGATGTTTGAAATTTTCTCATTGTCATTTCTAGCATCTTAAATAGCTTTTATTTCATCATGCACTATTTCCTGCAAATTCCCAGTGGATATAAGTGACGATTATATATCTTTGGTGTGGTATAATGACGATATAACATAATTTTAAAGCCTTCCTTTATTCGGGAATAGAAAAGTTTTACAATTCAAATTATTTTCTTGTGGGGGTTCAAATTCCTATTATGGCAAACTACACACAGACTCAACATGCTGGTCTTGATCAGTTAATACAGACCAGGTTTTATTTTCTTTCCATTTGATTGGGAAGGTTTTCTTCCTGAACAGTTCCATTACAGCTTTTCAGCAGAATTCACATTACCTTTCCCTGGGATTAGAGGAAGGTCTTTATTCTAAAATCTTGGCAGGTCACATTTTATGTATAAGCTTAACTGCAAACATTTACTGATAAAAAGCAGGGCATACCAATTTCCATCACAGAAGTTTTCAAAAGCAGATCAGCAGCTTTGATAGACTGTACTTCATTAGTAGCAAAGGCTCCCCCTAAGACTGTAAATTGTTCTTTCTGTTTAAATCCCTGGTTTTATTTTCTGATGCTTATCAAAAATTTCCCTCTTGGGAAAGGGAAATGCTTTGTCTTGGGTAAAAGCTTTGTGGGACACTAATTTGGAGGCCAGATCCTGCAATGAATCGACTATCTTAAACCCTTTGTCAAAATCCCAGATCTGTAAGAGCTTTGAAAGTTATTCAAAACCAAAGTCTAAGAAAGATGTCAGGCACTCAGTTAACAAATATGCACTTCATTATTAGACTGTGGTTTTATGAGCCAAAAAGGTGCAAAACCTCCTAGGGTTTTATTCTTCTATAAAGTTATTTTATTTTAAATGAAGGTATTTGAATCCACTTGCTTTAGGTTTTCTTTCTTTGCTGCATTTTGATTTCTAATGAAGTCATACAGATAAGTAATTCAAAAGAAAAAAATAAAAATACAGTCAGTCTGTGTGATTTACAACATTTAGTGGGTATATTGCAGAAACTTAATTAATTATCCCAGCCAACATGCATGAGATCACCAGGTAGGTTTCTCTGTTCTTACTGATCTGGAGAGACCACAGAGGGACAGAGCTACTTTGTTGCCTGTACTCTTATTAAAGGCAGTATAATTATGATTGCTTCCTACTGTGTTTAAATAATGGCAGTTCATTTGTTAAGAGAAGTAAAGTGATTTTCAGTGACTCAGGAGTATGAATATATTACTAGTATTGCCTTAAGTCCAAGCAGATATATGGTAATAAAGTCAGGATAATTAATTACATTTTAGTGCATTACAGTTCCCTGACAGAGAAACCTGGAGACACCTTAGGGGATTAAGGGGGATTTGACTTTATGCGTGTTACAATTCCAGTGTGTAACACAATAATTCTGTAACAAGTCCTTACACATCATTACATTTGTCATTAGCTAAAAATGCTGTGTGGATTCATACTGTTTATGCTGTATAATATTCTTTCAGCTGCATTCAGTTTGAAACTTTCTGTTTATTTTTCTCCACAGGCCTTTGGTTTATCTGGGTCTCAAAATATTTGCTCGCTTTGGAATCTGTGAATTCCTAAACTGTTCAGAATCCACTCTGAGGTCATGGTTACAAGTTATTGAGGCTAACTACCATTCCTCCAACTCCTACCATAATTCTACTCATTCAGCAGATGTACTACATGCTACTGCTTACTTCTTGTCTAAAGAGAGAGTAAAGGTGAGTCCACATCTATGTGAAACAGCGTAGGTGGGAAATACAGATACAGTCAAAGAAGGATCTCTCAAAAACAGATGGAAAAGCCAAATGTCTGCTAGTGCCAACCAGTTTGGTAACTCTGAGGTCAAAGAACTTGGGCTTTGCATGAATTCTAGGATCTCTCTTATAGTACATGTAGAAGGATGGATACTAACATTACAGAATTGAACAGTTCTTAATGGGAGAATAAGAAAATCTTATTTTCATAAAACTTCATATAGTTAAACCTTCTCAAATAGGTGAGCTAATGACATAATTATTTTTGTGATGGTACATGCCAAATACAGATTTAATTACCCTCTCTTATGTCTTGTCATGGTGATTTTGCAAAAGACTCCCAGGACAATATAGGCCATAAAGTGGGCTGTATCACCACTGGAGAAGATGCCCTGAGGCTTATAGAGACTGCAGTGGAGGAGAGTATTGAAAAAAATTACTTGTCACTACCATAATACCCACTGGGGTATTAAAATCATGAGAACCAGAATAAATCAGAATTCCTTTTGCTCTCACATGCCCAGACTGGAGAAGGGGAATAAAGCAGTGCTTGGTGTGTGTGCAGTAGAGTGGTGGGACATATTTCTGAGTTGCAGTCCTGGGTGGGAGTTCTGAACTGGTCTGCCTAAGGATAACACCAGTGATGGGCACCTGGCTGAGAAATTTGTGACTGTAAACAAGCTTCTGACAGCTCATTAAGCTGTAGTAATTCCCTTAACTTGGAGCTGCAGCTCATTAGTGTGCTCTCCAGAGGCTGATTTACAAATACTATATGCCAAGTGGGGATGGAATGTCACTGGATTTTTTCAGCCCCTGATTTGCCAGAGGTTTAGCTGGTCTTCCCAAGAATATCTATGAAAAACAGACAAGACCTGGATCCATTTCAATGCCACAGAAGCCTAACTACCTCCTCTTTTTCCAGCATGTTATTTCCATTCCTCTGTAGGCATAGGAAGAGAAAAAAATGTTGCAACAGAAGGAGCAGAATCAAAGTTCAGAATTCTCTCTTCATCTTCTCAAAGTTATAGCCCAGCTGCTTTTGTGTTGCACAGAGTTCAACTTAATCTAAACACAGCCCAATTCTGCCACTGAAATTCATGAGAGTATTTTTTTTTTCGTAATTTGAACTCAGTTCAACTTGTCTAAGAAAATTTTCTGGCTCCAAAACTGAAGCCATATTCTTAGAATCGTTTTCACTTCTGTGCCATAGGAGTTAAGATAACAAAGTTAGGATCCTTGACTTGATGTTGGGTGTAAAAGTGCTGTAAATCCCTGTGAAATAAGTCAGGTGATCCTCCAGGTCAGGCATTCTCATGTTTCTGGCCATTTCCCATCTGCACAGGTCTTTCTCAGCCAGACTGAATGCTGCTCAGTGTGTCCCTTTGAGGAAATCCCTCTCTCAAATCCCTCTCTCTGAACTGCATACCACAAAAATAGAATCCCATGAGCAGCAGCTGAAAGAAAGAAGGAAGAAGTTAACACACAGCAGACAGTATTTCAGACCATGCTAACTATGAACTAGAGCAGAAAGAATTATTTGCCTTCCCTTGTTCTCCACGAGACTCTCTTGACAGTTCTCAATGAATAATATCCCTGCTCCTGCAAAATCAGGTCATTGCATAATTTCAGGAGGTGTGAAGAAGGAAAGGGTTTGTCTTTTCACCTACCAAGTGTAACTATTCTGAATGGTAGTAAAGGGCTCAAAGAGGATTTGGACCTCAAAGCAAATTAGAATGAAAATTATCTACCCTGCTCCCAGATTCAAATGGGAATTTTTTTGCTCTTGTGGTCCTTTACAAATGCCAGTATAAACACAGCACAAAGGCTGTTTTCCAAATGTATATGAAATATTTCTGAGATGCTTAGTTCTTGTTCTCCTTTATGCTATTAATAAAGTATTAACACTTGAGTGTAAAATCTTAAGAATCAAATAGGTTTGTATTTCATGACAGGGTAGATAAAAATAGGCATAAAGTAATGCTCATTGCAAGCAGACATAAAGCTTGGAGTGCAGCATGCTACCAGAATCAGAATGTAACACAGAAAGTCCAGAACACGTGTCATGTAATTTATCCATAGATACAAAACATCAAATATTCTTCATAGAATATGCATTAGCTGTAACCCAGGACAGCATTATTAAAGAACTGGATGTATGGATAACCTTCCTTTCAAATTGTAAACCTAGCCAGCATGGAAGTAGAACATAGTTAGGACACATTAATTTGCGAAAGGAAATCAAGGGGTGCTAATAGAACAATTTTTAGCAGTATCGGTCTTTTTTCCAAGCCAAATACCTTAACTCTAAGGGAAGGTGGTTTCAGTGTTGCTAGAAAACACAAACTAATTTATTACTTTACATTTGTTCAATTTGATGTGCTGTGACAAAGGTGTGGTTAAGGCAAAATTTAAGAGGTACAAAATGGCCAAAAAAGTCACGCAATGTTCAATGAAGCTTATAATGAATTTTCCATTGCTCTGTGTAGAACATCTGACCCTTACTGATCTCCAGAGTTTTGGCTTTTATTCCTCAGCGACTTGGCTTAATCTTATGGACAGAAGAGGGTTTCTAATGAGTGTGCCAGGAAAGCTAAGCACCCTTCTATTTTCAGCAAACTCTGGATCCAATAGACGAGGTTGCCGCGCTCATTGCTGCCACAGTCCACGATGTGGATCACCCAGGAAGAACAAATTCTTTCCTGTGCAATGCTGGCAGCGAGCTCGCAATCCTCTACAACGACACGGCCGTGCTGGAGAGCCACCATGCTGCCCTGGCTTTCCAGCTCACCACCCGGGATGGCAAATGCAATATATTTAAAAACATGGAGAGGTAAGTTTAACCCCCAGGGTGCTTGTCTGCCCACCTACATCTCTTACTTCCTTTTATGTACCATAAGGCAAACAAGCATCCTAGAGGAGGGCAGTGCCTCGTGGATAACTGTCCGTGGCCCTTGTGAAATTTGCTTCTAAAAGAGTAGAATGCTTCTGTCTCTCCTGCAAAGACTTCTGAGTAATTCCCCACTGTCAGTTTCTCCTGTCTGTAAAAAGGCAGACACTATCTAAGGAATTTAATGTAAATCTTGATGTGAGCAAGTCTAGAAGAGATGTTCTGTATCATTGAATGTAGAGAACAAGGAGCAAGAGCCACAGAGCAGTGTGAAGGATAATGAAGGACCTGTTGCTCTCGCAGCCTCAGAGAAGCATTTAGGGCAAGGATGTGACCATTGCCATGGTTTTCTCAAGATACAACAGAAAAATATTGCTGAAAACTTGCCTGGAGAGTGAGCCACAGCTGGGTGTCTGTACTAAAAGCCTGAGGAACAGGCAGGTATGGCATGTCCTAGCAGCCTCCTAAGCAGCTGGTGCCTCTGCTTCTGCCCAGCTCTGGTACTGTTTCTAGAGATCCAGTCATGCCTGGAGCAGATATGTCTCTACACACCAAAGGTACTCCTAGATCTCACAGAGACACAGCTGCCCAAGCCTTTATTAGTGTTCTTTGTTCCCCTAGCACCTCTCTCAAACAGGAATGGTCTGTTGCAATTTAGTTAGACTTGTTTTAGCAACCAGCCCTTTGTGACCCAGCCAGCATTCTTAATTGTTTCCTTCTTTAAACAGGAATGAGTATCGAACCCTTCGCCAAGTCATTATTGACATGGTCTTAGCAACAGAAATGACAAAGCACTTTGAGCATGTCAACAAGTTTGTCAACAGCATTAATAAACCCTTGGCAGCACTAGAAGAAAATGGGGTAAGCAACACTTCAAGTCCTTCTTAAAATGCCTAGGCAGGGACTGGGAACCCTTGGCAATGGGAAATTCCCATGTGGTGTTCTGAGAAAGTTTATCAGAAGTGTGGAGAAAGAGAGGCTGGAGATTTATCTTTCACCTCTGGGTTTGAATCCCCTTCTGCTTAACATGGTTGTCACTTTGAGGGTGAGTGGGACTCACTTGGATCCTATTAATATAACAGTGCTGTGATGTCATACTTGGAACCAGGACACTGGGCTGTATGTTTTCATGTAAAAATGCCATTTTGATTAACCCAGTCACTCCTGTGGAAGAAGTGGTAAGACTGGGCATTGTTGTTGGCTGTTTCTGCAAGGAAGGAGGCAAGGTTTGCTTCAAAGCAGAGGCTGAATTACATCCCTCCCAAGAGGAGTTTGCTGGGGTGCAGCATAAGGGCAGCACTGTGGGCTGGCATGTGGTGCATTCTCTGGCAATAAGGGCCCTCAGCCTCCAGTACTGCCTGGCAGCATTCATGGGGTTTCGGTCTGCTTTCTTTTTTAATCTTTAAAATAGATGATGGTGACATTATGTATCATATAATCAATAGCCATCTGGAACCCCATGGACACAAAGAAATTGCCTGTTAAGAACTCTTTCTGAAAAACCACGCCAGTTTCAATAACAGCTTCAACCAGCAGTTTTGTTGCCAGTAAGAGCAGTGTATAATTTTGTTGGAATGATTTTTGCAAAGAGAAGACTTGCAGAAGTGGTTATGATAAAGCTTGCATTGGTGGCAACATCATGTAGGGGCCGTAATGGTTTTCTGTATTTGCTTACCATGTTTTTTAGAAAGCCACATATATGACTGTTATGTCATAATGGGGAAAGGCAGTCCTTTTATTATCTGAGAGTGGAAGAGAAACAGGTCTTGTTCCTTCACCCATGAGAGGCAGACTGGAGCTTAATTGGAGAATTGTACCTTTTTCCACAGGAGTATAGACTAGAATTAGCTTTGTTCTTGGCACCTGGCAATGCTAATGGGAACTCTGTGAATGTGAAGCCAAAGTTCTAGGAGGATACTGGTAGTACTGAATAAATGAGAAGAAAGGATTGTTCTGTTCATCCTGGAGAAAGGATGTTAAGTTCCCAGCTGGACAGCCTCTCTGGATGAACATAGCAGCATCGGTGCAGGAGAGAACAAGGGAGCTGCTGCTGCTGGGTGCAGTGCCCTGCACTGGCCCTGTGGAGTGTGTAACTCTGTAGGGCTCCTGGTCTTGCTGAAGGGCCCTGCATGGCCTGGCTTGGTGTGCAGGGCCCCTCCTCCCAGCCCCAAGGGTCGAAATGCAGCAGTTTTTTGAGCAGCAACATCTATCCAAAGAGCCAAACTCCTCCTTTTGCCTATTACAGAAAGCTGAACAGCTGGTGCTGCTGAAGAACAGGACTTGGACCTGTACAATCAGAGAGTGAAAACACAAACAGGGACATAGGAAAATGAAACAAAAGCTTAGTTCTACCCTTAAACCCCAGAGACTGCAGGGAAATTATCTGCCCCACAAGGCATTTGTGATTCACAGCAAATTGTGCCCAAGGATGGGAAGAAAGACAAAGAATATATAATTTGTATTGAAAACAAGAAGCAAAATGTTTCCCTTCTTTCAGCTGGGAGTTTGTTTGGCAAGTTCCTATTAAAAGGCCTGTAATGTGTGAGTGGGTAAAGCAAATTATTTATTGTGCTGAGCAGAACAACGCTGTCAGCCCCTCTTTCAAGTCTGCTGTCCCTCTGGCTGCAGCAGCAGTGTGTGTTTTCTGGCCTGCTTTCCAGTCATGGTGGTGACTCAGTGGAGTGTTTGCAGGCTGAGCTGCCAACTGCCTTTTCCAAATGGGACAGTTCCACTTCTTTTATTTATTTATTTATAATTTTTATACAAATTTGTTCAAAGAGCCATGCTGAGAAGCTGCTCTGTTTGTTTCCTTTTTGCTTTTGTTTCATAAACTGAAAAAAAATCCTTTCCAGCTCCAGCATCCTCTATCCTCCCATTTCCCCTCATGATGTCACTAAGCTATGACAGGAAGCCAACATCTGACATGCAGAGACACCTCTGCACTCGGAGCAGAATGCTGGGAATAGGCCCAGTTAACACATTTTATTCCCAAGACATCTGCATCCAGCAAGTAGAACTGTGCCTTTGGTGTGAACAGATCTCAGAGGTGAACATCCTTTCTTGTTCCCTGGTGGTTTTCCTACTAGGATATTCTTTACTATCCCTAACTGAACAATCTCTAATTTTCCATATCTAATTTCCATACTTGTGTTTCTGGAGCTTCCATCACTTTATGTTGGCTTTCTCATATATAATTTTTCCATGCATTTGGAGGTGTATACATCTCACCTTGTTTCTTCTGTTTTCCCTTCCATATACCTAGAAATGAGAGAAAAGAATTGGTTTGGGCACCTCATTTTTGTGAGACCTGTGGAGCTGGTATTTCTGAGCCATTTCTGTACTATCAATTTTTTTTTTTTACTGTCAGTTTCTTCCTTTAGGAAGAACTTTCTTCCCCACAAGGATTTTCTTCAGAAAAATGTCATGGTTATTCTGACCTAATAAAAGGTCAGAATGTTTCTGCTGCTTTGTATCTCCCTCTTTGTACAAAACACTGCAGGAACTGGTAGCACATTATTATCATTACTCTTCATTACTTCTTCCCTGCTCTGACTGTAGAGCAAGACCCTGTTAGGTGCCAAAAAAGTCTTGTATGTTCCTTGCTTCAAAGAGTTTCTATTCTGAGTAGACAGCAGTGTAAATGCTGTACCTATCCATCCTTAAAGAGTCCAGCAACAAGGGAAGGGAATGAGGAACATGCCTGGGAGGTAATGTGGGATCTGACTCTCTGAATAGTAGCAGTGCTGTCAAAATGATTGATACACTGACGGGGTTTGTGTACCAAGGGTGGCTCTGCATCTTGGGTCAGTCTCTCTTTTCAAACCAACTATTCCACTCCTAATGTGCAAGTCCATTAATCCTTGGGTTTCAGCAGAGTTACATTTTTCTGCCTACATGGTCCTCATCACGATGAGTGTAGTGATGAATTGATCCTCTCCACCCTTTTGAGAAGGCAGATAAGAAATAGAGGGATTAGATGACTTGCCCAAAGATGTCAAAGAGATCTGTCACAAAGCCACTGACTGAATCCAGAAATTGGAGTTCAGTGCTAGCTCAGAGCTGTGGCTAACTTTGATAATCCACCTATAAATTCAGTTAGACATCAAATCTGGTAGCCAGTAGCAGGACTGATCCCTGTGGGATGTGCTGAAAGCATTCCCAAAGCACAAAAGCTTTTGAGTTAGTGCATGGAGACCTTGCTAATGGATTGTTTTTAATTCTTAAATGTTGCAGAATAATGGTGATGGCGAGTCAATCAAAACTGTTCTCAGGTCTCCTGAAAACCGTATCCTTATCAAACGCATGTTGATAAAGTGTGCTGACATTTCCAATCCATGCAGACCCAGAGAACAGTGTATAGAATGGGCTGGACGCATCTCTGAGGAGTACTTTGCACAGGTAAGGCAGCTAAAACAGGCTGGAACTGCAGGTGGGCATCTCTTTAAAAGGCAGGGGAAGGGTGCCAGTGTCACAGAATATCTCAGGCTGCAAATAATAAGAATAGAAAGAATAACCTTTTTATTTTAAATGATAGGTATTACTCATGCTGGTGCACAACTCGATGCCTTCCGAGAGATGAAAGTTGACAACTTCTATTGTGCAATTTCTGAAAAATCTAAGCTTTCAAGTTGTTTAGTTTGGAACTGATCTTTTTGAGCCTTGTCTGCAAATGCACTCCCATAAGAGAGAGCAAGGGAGTGCTCTCTAGAACCTGATGGTCCTATTCCCTATTCTAGTGCACACCCAAGGGAGTGCACTAGAACCTGATGGTCCTATTCCCAAGGCAGAGCCAGCCACATGCTCTGCCTTGGGAATAGGACCATCAGGTTCTAGTGTTTGGATGGGAGCAGCACTCGCTCCAAGAAATGCTGCAAGCCCTTAGCACACTGTGCTGAGGAAAGGTTTTAGGAAGATGTGGAAAAGGAGAGGGCAGTCATCATTACAGATTACATACCAAACACTGCAGCTGGAACATGCACCCCAAGCAAGGGGCAGGGGAGTACAAAAGGTGTTTTGCCATGTGTGAGGGGACAGATCACTGCTTTCATCAGAGACTGAAAATGGTTGAGCAGCTCTTGGGTCCAAAGCAGTGATAACTTGGTAATGTGCCAAGTTACATAGGGTCAGCAGGAAAATGCATCCCTTTGTGGGAAACACTGGAAGGCACCATGTGTCTGCTGTTTTGCTGAAACTGAACAACTAGGTGCCCAAGATTAAGCTGCTGCTGCTTCAGATTTATTCAGGTTCTTCCTTTGATTTAGCAGATGCTCTAGTCAGTGCCAAACAATCTGCTGCTAAAAAAAGCCCATTAACAGAATGTGTCTTAGGTGAATAATCACTAATTTTTTTGCAGACTGATGAAGAAAGGAGGCAAGGTTTACCTGTTGTGATGCCAGTTTTTGACAGAAATACTTGCAGCATCCCCAAATCCCAATTATCATTCATTGATTACTTCATTATTGATATGTTTGATGCCTGGGATGGTAAGCAAAACTCTGCTGTTTCCTGATCTGAACAATTTGTGAACATTTGAAGCTGCTGTGATACAAAATTTCTTTTTTATGGCTCCTAAATAAAGGGAGAGAAAAGGGAAGATTCCTGCAGTTCAAGTAAGATTAATAATTTCATTATTGCTTATAAGTATGGCTACAAGCAATTCTCATGGCTTGTCTATGATATACTAGATTCAGGCAATCTTTAACTTCTTAAACTTGCTTCTCTGTAAACAGAGAACAGAGCACACTCTCTTTGATAGCTCTTTGAGCACAGTCATTTTGACCATGTTAATATTGGTTATTCTTCAAGGCAAATTTCTGCTGTCTGGAAACTGCTTGGGGGAGAAGCCGTTTCCTTCCAAGTGCTGCCACCATGGTAAAAGTGGTCAGAAATGTGACTCTCCTGAATGCCAGATGATGACATGTGACTGAGGTTTGATGGGGCAGGATAATTACTACCATAATTAGCTATGCCCCTCCTGGAAAACTGTGTTCCTTTGCTGGGACTCACAATACCAGTATTAAGTAGATTTACAGAACAGTTCTCAGTGGTCCAAGTGCTACACGAGTGCTGAGAGCTTTACAGCCAAAACTATTTCAAGCACCAGTATGACAGATTTAAGCTTTTCTACTTAAACACAGTTGCCCGAACATTTCAAGTGATACTTAAGCAGACAGAACCTGTGACTGTTTCAGTTCTGCAAACTCAATATTTTCTGCCCTTCCTTCCCTAGCATTTGCCGACCTGCCAAACCTGATGGAGCACCTGAATAATAACATTAAATACTGGAAAGGACTGGATGGAAGGAACCTGCGAGTCCTTCGACCACCACCAGAATAGCAGTTAGACCATGGTGTGTCATTCACTAGCCCGATGCATATTTATTCAAGCTCACTTTTGTCTGTGTGAATTCAGATTTGTTTTGGTCTCTTCAGTATTACAGTAAAACTAGCCCATGCACTTGGGGAAGTTTCACATTCAAGAGAACATGAGGTCAGCAGTTGACTTCCACAAAGTCCCATGTGTGGACTCGGATGAAATAAGCCCACCAAGTGGAATTACACTGGATTGCTACAGTACTTGTGCTGAAGAGGGTTTATTATGGACATACTTCTGTGATATCTTCATACCAGCACGTGAAGCTGGAAGACCTTGAAGAGAATCCTCATAAAAAGGACATTCACTAGAAGTTTATCTATTAATAGAGACTCACAGCTTTTATGAGAAAGCTACATGCTTTTTATAAGCACTTCAGACAGTTATGTAGAACAATCAGACATTTAAAATGCAACTGTCTATGAAAGAATTTTTTGATCTATGAAAAATAGATGTACTGTATTTTTTCACATCACAGAAGGTGCAATCATTCACTTCTGAGCACTACTGAAAGTGAGTTCTCCTTAAGAAATTTAGTAGCAAATGTAAAAAATAACACAAGAATTTTTGAGGTTGATCATTAGCATCTATGATTAAAATGTTATGTTTTATTTATTTTGTTAGATGTTCAATATTTTCTATGAATTTATAAATACTTAAAAGCCAAAGCCAACTTTAGATGCATTATAAATTTACATGATTCATACTCATTAATATACATTTAATTGATGTACAGACCTTTTATTTTCATAATGCAAATACAAAATACTATACAATGATACATTTTTATTGCACTGTAAGGATAGATGTGTATGTTTAAATATTGTCTGATTTATGTTAATTAAAATAAGTTTTATTAAAAAGGTCTCACTTGAGAATAGTAGAATAAACAAGAACTGTATACTGTCTGAGCACCAGAACTGCAGTAGTTCTCCCACAAACCAGTGAGGACCACCTGATCTTCTCTTGGCTACAAAAATAATAATGTGTTGGAACTCTTTGTTTTCTCCCATGACATTTTATGACTGAACTCCCTGTTAAAGTCTGCCTTATTTTATATAGTATTTCTACAAAGCATTCCACAGCGTATATGAAGAGGTGATACTAAGCATCTAATGAATTTCAACATTTTATAGCCAATGTATTTTCCTCTGCCGTAAAAGAAAAAGAACATAAAACCACCAACACAAACCTTCAACTCAAGAAGTTTGTAAAGGCTGTGTACCTTCACAATTTAAATGAAACCTTCATAGCAACTACCAGAAAATAATAAAATGTATATTTTAAGAAGTGTCAAGTCCTACCCATTTCATTTGAAATGTATATGCACTTCGTAGTTTGCAGACTAACAAACACATGAAATTCTTTTAAAAATAAGATACTTTTTGTCTGCGGAAGGGAAAAGTTGAGGGGGTTGAATGGTATATGAAAGGTGTAGCTGGCAAGCCCCTGTGTTTGTGGCCTGCCCTTGGCAAGCCCGTCAGACCCTGGTGTACCCTTGGACAAGTCTCTTCACAGCTCCATGCTGTGTCACGCTGTGTTCCACTGGAGGACTCAAGGAGTATCCTGTCAGCCTTCCCTGTCAACAGAAAGGCATCCAAAGGCACTGAAAGGGCTGCTGACTGTTGTTACTGCAGAGAAAATTGAGTTCAGAGACGTTTTGAACCATTTCTGAAGAAGCAGAAGCTGAGGAGAGGTGGATGATGGAGCAGTTCAGGGACTGCAGTAGCAGCCTTAAGGTAAGAAAGGAAGAGGTGATCTCTCCAGGTGTTACCTGCTTCTGTGTTTCTCCTTCCTCTCCAAGCCAGGGAGACTGATGGGCTATCACCACTTGTTCCTCTTAGTGTCATGCCTTTTTGCCCTTACCCTGCTTGTGTGGTCTCTTTACCTACTCAGAATTCAGTTACATGCTGTTGGGGCAGGGAATTCCCTTTCATAATTCCATTTAGTTCATTGTTCATTGTGTTCATGTTGCCTAAGCCAGGGGGCTCAGATCCTGTGAGGGGTGCCCAGACTGTGCCACTGTCTCACTGACAGTAGTAAGACAGAAGCTTCTCTGGTCAGTCTTCCAGAGGTTCTACAATCAAAGCTGAAGGAGCAAATACATTTTCATTGAAGGCTCAATAAAGCAAGTATCCTGTTTTCACAGGGAACTTGCAAGGGAGGAAGAGTTGGCTGACAGTTTTCCCGACAATATAACATTGTATTTCCCTATTTGCATCTATTGTAACCAGCTGTAATTTGCTACCTGGTATTAATCTCTTCTCTTCCTTGCAGGCTCCTGTGTCTCCATTAGAGGAAAACTGCATCACACCATCAGTGTCTCCTCTGTTATCTGCTGCAATGAGGATGGGAGAGGAACTGTGAGCACAAGCATATGCGCCCAGAGACTTATCTGCAGGTAAAAAGAATGGAATAATTATTGCTGGAAAAGACCTTTAAGATTATGGAGTCCAGCTGTTCCTCCAGCACTGCCAAATCCACCACTAAACCATGTTCCCAAGTCCCATGTCTACACATCTTTTACACGTTTTAAATCCCTTCGGGGATGGTGACTCTACCACTGCCCTGTGCAGCCTGTTCCAGTGCTTGACAGTCTTTGAAATAAAAAAAAAATTCCTAATATCCAATCTAAACTTCCCCTGGTGCAACTTGAGGCCATTTCCTCTTGTCCTATCACTTATTTCTTGGGAGGAGAGACTGATCCCCACCTGGCTACAGTGTCCTTCCAGGTAGTTCTAGGCAGTGATGAGGTCTCCCCTGAGCCTCCTTTTCTTCAGGCTAAACACCCTGGCTCCCTCAGCTGCTTTCACAAGATATGTGCTCCAGACCCTTCCCCAGCTCTGACGGAGCTTTTTCCCTTCTCTGGGCACGCTCCAGCACTCAGTGACCATCCTGGATGAGAGGCCCAGACCTGGGCACGGCACTGGAGGTGCAGGGGATGGCGCTGCCCCGGCCCCGCTGCCGCAGGCCCGGTGCCAGCGGGCTCCTGGCACAGCTGCCTCACCTTCAGCTGCTGCTCACCAGCACCCGCTGCTGTCCTGCTGGGCACTGTCCCCCCTCTGCCCCAGCTGCAGAGCTGTGTGGGGCTGGTGTGACCCAAGGGCACACCCGGCCCTTGGCCCTGCTGACCCTGATACCACCGGCACCATTCCACGGGTCCGGCCGGTCCAGGTCCCTCAGCAGAGCCTTCCTACCCTGCCGCAGAGCAGCACTCCCATCCAACTTGGTGTCATTTGCAAACTGACTGAGGGGGCACTTGGTCCCCTCATCCAGATTCTCAATGAAGATATTAAACAGAACTGCCCAGAAAAAAATATTTCTTCATAAGCATAGTTAATATTCTGGGTTATATTAATATGTGGTAAAAAGCAGTTAATTTCATCTGCTATAAAAATGCCTGATGCATCATCACTGAAAAGATGTGATCAATATGATTAATTCCCTGAAATTCACACTGCATTTTTATTTCCATTACTTGGACTATAGAACTGTGCTAATTAACCCTCCGTGTAAGCCAGACTTATGTCCATATTGGTGAACAATAATTTAACATAAAACACTGATTTTCAGCCACTGCAGCTTTTTTCGTTCTGCTGTCCATCTAAATTTGCCAAGGACAGATTATAATTAAAATCTGGAAGCATGATGCCTGATCTTTAGTTTCTTGCCACTGAGCTTCTCTCCAAGGCACACCTCTGAAGCCTTCTGTGCCCTGTGAGGCTGTGCCCATTCCATGGGGGTGATTCCAGGCTGATGCCCATGCAGAGTGAAGGGCCTTGCTGTGGAGCTTCCTTGCTCCAGGATGCAGCTGTCTTTGGCTCCCACTGCAAATGCTTCAGCCATTCCAGATCCCCTTCCTTTATTCTCCAACTTTACACAGCAACATCACATGCCCTGTGCTCTGAACCCTTTCCAGCTTTTTGAACTGTCACTCAGTGATGGAACTTCCTGGGGACAGAAATGGCTTTAGTGATGGTCCTTCACATGGAAGGGAGAACACTGGAATAAACTGAGTGTGATTGAAGTGTTCCAAATTTCACTTAGCTGGCAGTCTTATGCAGTGTCTGCACTTTTCATTTGTTCTTGCTTTAATGCTAATACAAGAGTAAATTCCAATGTAGACATGATGAAGGAGAGGACCTTTATGCACCTCCAGGGCTTTAGTAAAAAGCTTTGTGTTTTAAAACTTAATAAGATTCAACAGTTCAGCATTAAATGACAGAATGAATGGCTCTATTTTCCATGCTGCACATTTTCTATCAGGTAATCCTGCTTCTAAACCTGGATATCACTGTAGATGCTTCCAAGTGAATCTGAATTATTATGATCTGGTAAAAAAAAAGTTGGCTTCTCAGCAAATTGTCCTAGATTAATTTTTCCCTTGCACAAAATTTGGAGTAATAATTGCTTATTCCGACAAAAGGGGAAACCAGACAGGTGGTATGCACAGCTACCTTATCACAAGTCTGAAGATGGTTTTCATACTGCAGTTTACCCAATGGCTATATAAATAATTTAATATATAAATTAAAAATCACCTGAAAGGGAATGAATGCCTTGTTTTTTGTTGCAGAGCCTATTCATCTGGATGTTTTTGCTTGTCTCAGTAGAGGAATCATTGATAAAACATTTGAAAAATGTGTCTTGAACATGAAGGAATTGAGCAATGGCAAAGGCATTCCTGCATAAAAGAGAAGAAAGGATAATAGATATCTAATAATCACTTGCTGGGTGCTGAGAAACAGCACAGGCAAACACTAGTCAGTTGTGCCCTTCAGTGAGGCCAGAAGGGTTTGAGTCATGACTCTGCAAGGAGTGCTTTGAAATGAAGTCTCAGAGCTATTCACAAGCTTCAAAACAAATAATCTCTCTGCTCACGTGTGACATCATGCCTCCAAGGCAAAGGGGTCCCAGGGGTGCTGTTAGATGATAGCAGGATGCAGTGCAGTGAGTGCAGTTTGTCCTGACGTGATGTTTGGATGCAGAAAACAAGCTTCCAAATTGCTGCCATGTCCCTGTGCAGCCCTGTGCTGCTGGTTCAGAACAAAGGGGATGTCCAGGTGTTTCAGCTGGTTTGTACTGAAGCTTTGGCTCTGTGAGCAAAGAGCTGTGGCTCAACTCCACTGAATGCTTTCTCTCAGTGCCTGCTTTGAATGTTACTTGGGCAAAGTGTCTCATGTTTTCCTTTTTTGCACTTGTTTAACATCTTTAAGACTCTCCTCCAACATTTCCCATGCAAACCTCAGTGGACTCAGCTCTGCAAACCCTGTGAAGCAATTTCAGTTGCCTCTGAGCAACTGAGTTAGGAAAGGCCAGGGAACGCAGAGGCACTAAGCAGAGTAGCTTTGAGGCTTCTAAACATCTTTGAAGTCCTGGATCTTCAAGCCCTGCCTGTGGTTTAACAGTGAGTGTTAGGCCAGGAAACAGTCTTCTGGTCTTCTCATGTTCCACTTTTCCCCCTCTCTTTCAGCTTCTCTGCTTCCATTTTTCTTCTTAGCTCATTTACTAGGAGTCTTTGCTTTAACTTCTACTGGCTGAACATCTCCCTCAAAGACACAGCCATAATGCTGGGACTAAACCCTACCTTTCAAATTGACTCTTGCTGCTTGCTTACTACAGCTTTTACCACAAGGAAATCTTTTTGTTTCTGACTCAAAATGAGCCTGGAGAAATATCTTATAATGGCCGAAAGCCTTACCTTGGTATCCACAGGCAGAAGGAGAATACACAGTTAACTGAAATAGCTTGTGAGCACTGCAGTGCTGCTGGGGCAGTGGGAATATGTGTGCAAGGTCTTTGGTACTGTACTCCACATGCAAAGTGAAGTCAGGAGTGTCCCAGGCACCTCTGTCTTTGAGGTTATGTTAGTAAGCACAAGCAGCTGGGGACACTTGTTGAAATTTGAATCTGCCTTTTCTTGGTTTGCTTGCTCCCCCCATCGAGTGGCAAGAGTCATTGCTAGAGCTGAAACTCAGTTCAGCCCGTGGTACTCAACAGAAATCACTTCATCCTTTTATTACTATTCTACCTTTTATAGGTAGTGAAATAGTGCACCAAGGCATACCATTTTCAAAAGGAAGTGAGAAAGGTGATTCCTCCTTGAAACAAAAGGAGGAATTCAGCCAGTGTGTAATTATTCAAGTGAGAAATTGGTCTTGTCTGGATTTAATATTCCAGAGTGGTATTTGATGTAAATCCTTCCCCAGAGTTCATTACATTAGCTCTTAGCTCAACCTGAGCATGCTGAATGCCAAGTTCAGCATGCAGCATGTTTTATCACCAAGGAGAATGACGTCAGCCTGGTGATCCTGCAGCTCCCCAGCTTGGGGGAGGAGGTATGGCTTTGTCTTCAGCCTGAAGATAAAATGGAATACATTTAATAAGATTTTCTTGGTATTTGTTGTGTAAAATGTGTGAGAAATATTGCTTTTTACCTCCAGAAAGAACTGTCTCTTTTTGCCTTAAAAAAAAAAACAAACCTAAAAAAAAAAAAGTTACTTTGCTTGTAGTATTATTCAACACAGAAAATGAAATTTCTCCTTTACAGATCCCTAAGTTTTAAAAGAAGAGCCCTTTCACAGGTGGGTGAAATGAGCTGCAGGGAAGCACAGGGGCTTGTGGGCATCCATGCCATGGCAAACCCTGGTGCTGCCTGGCTGCTGCTGAGAGCTCTGGTAGAATCCTGCCAAAAAACGGTAAGAGAAATGTAGACAGCAGATGCTTTCATAAGGGTTTGTCTCTGGTGTTTTTCAGAGATGCTGGTCAGAGCTCCTGAGCTGCCAGAGCTTCGTCCTCCCAGCCCGCGGTGTGAGACTGGCGGGAGAGCCGAATGCCATCGGCGGGCACGGTGCCAGCAGTGTCCCCAGGCCGGGCAGTGCCGGCTGTTTCACACTCTGCTTACCGTAAGTAAGGCAGCCTGCAAGGACAGAGGGAACGTGAGCGCTCAGGAGCAGCGAGGTGCCCAGCCAGCCCTCGGGACCGCGCTGGGAACGCGGTAACACCAGGCACGGCTCTTGGGGTTAATGAGGGAGAGACTGCAACTGCTGGTGTACAGACAGGTGTCAGGGCATTGTGAGAGCAGAGTGAAGCATTCCTCACCTGACAACCAAGCCCTGAAAGTGAGCAGCCTCTCCCAGCCCCTCAAAATCCACGCTGGCAGACTTGGTGCCAATGTGATGTCCCCTGTTATGACAGAGCTCTGGCAAAGCAAGGTCAGAAAGCACAAAGTTTTAGCTGCTCTATCATGCCAGGAACAAAAAAAAAAGCCAAAACACCAACCTACCGTCCAACCTAAAACCACACAGAAACCCCAACAACAACAACAACAAAAACCAAACAACCCAAAGCCTTGTTATAAAATCAGCTGTTCTAAATAAACAAGTGTTCTTTGAACCACAGCAGAGCATGTACGTAACAATGTTTGTTAAGTAAATATCAGTGACATGTTTAAGTCTGGCTCAGTAGGTATTAGCAAAGTGATGTTTGTGTTGCTTTTGTTGTAACAAGAGTCAATCGTGTTTGTACAAGGTGGTCTGAAAAAAGGGACTTTGGATTTGGGGTTTTATTTCTTCCATCTGCCTACCAGTATCCCCACTTTGGGACTTAAAAGTCCTTCCCAATGCATTGAATTTGGTGAATTTATAGTTACTTCCATTGGCTTAGCTCTGTTCATAATCTGCCTCATGAGTGTTACTTCTTACTCATGGATCTATTTAGATTATTTTGTGTTTCTGCAGGAAATCTGTCCTAAGTCTGCTTGTAAATATGTGGTCACATTATAACGGTGTGTACCTGAAATGCCACAGTGCTGTGGCTGAGCAAAGTTCAGACCTACTTCCACCTCTTCTGATCAGGTGCACCTTGAGCTTAGATTTTCTTCTTGTGCTGCAGGCAGAGAGAGCCAGAGTCCCACACTGGCCTGCTCTCACTGCTGTGCCACTGTGCTCAACCAGTCATGAGATATTTGCAATGTGCAAAACTCCTCACAGGGACTGAGACAGCACGGCCCAAAAGCCAATGGGTTGCTTTTCCATTTGCAGCAAAACAAAACAAGACCACAAAAAACACCACCAACAAAATAACCACCAAACAAACAAACAAAACCAAACCACCATCAGTTTCTCATTTAAACAGCTGTTTATATAGATGTTTATATTTTTGTCTATCCTTTGACCTTTTCATTGAACTCTTTTAAGAGCCAGATATGAACTCTGAGGTTAGCACACAGAGAAATGCCAAGAGAACAGGTTGTAACAATGACCATGCTGAATTTTAAATTATCCACCAGAAACCAAAGACATTTTTTTGTGTTGGGCAGGCTGTGAGGAAGTCAGACTGCTTCTTAATGTCCTTTTCTGTATGTCAGTATAAGCCATTTCTTTGGGCATGCTCAGAAATTTTCGGCTTATCAAATCCTCACTGCAAACTACATGCTTCCGTATATGGGAGGCAAGATGTTTATTTCATCAAGCATTTTATTACACAGACCATGAAATATATCTGACTCTCACTGAGCAGGCACAATACAGTTCTATTTCAGCAGCCTGGCTGCAGCTTCCACCTCAGCACAGGGGCAGCACAAGGCAGGAGGTGCTGGGGCGGCCCCAGGCATCACCTGATGGTTCACTTTCCAATAGGAGAAGATGTAAAGGCATTTTGTTTAGAGATTGACAGAAAACTTGAGTGTTCAAGTGGCTACAAAATCCCTCCAAGGCAAGGGAGTTAACATGCTACTTTTGGCCCAGCCCAGCCTGGATGAGGGCACCGTGCAGGTGATTTGGGAGCTGTGGAACATCCACCTCAGGGATGAGGAAGAGCAGCTTTGTCCGGCCCCAGTCCTGCTGGTGAGACCCAGGAGCCGCCAAGAGCTCTCCCTCAGCCTTGCCAGGGCTGTGCTAGCAGCGGGTGTTGTTCTGGTGCTCCAGTCTGCAGGATCAGGCCCATTCCATGGGAAGGAATGCAGGTGGACAAGCACAGCAGGTGCTGCAGAGGATGGTGGCTGCTGCAGGCAACAATTCAGCTGTGTGCGGATGGAGCCATCGCTGGGGAAGCCGCTCCACGGTCCAGCCGAGGGCAGGTAGGGCTCGAGTGGGTGCCGAGCGTGGTGAGCTCGGCTGGGTCCGTGAAGTCCAGGGAAAAGGCTGCCTTAGTGAGGCCAGGGCTGCGGGAATACAGCGCCCACTCCAGGGGGGAACCTCGAGCTGTCTCTCCCCGTCCGAGGCGCTGTCCCGGCACCGGCAGGAAAGGGAAGGAGAGGAAGTAAGGAAGGAAGGCAGGCAGGCAGAGCCCGCCCTCTCCCCGCCCTCTGTCAGGACTGGCCGAGCCGCGCCCGCCCCGGGAAATGGCGGGGCCACGAGGAGAGCTGGGGGAGCGCATGGCGCCGGGGCACCGGCCCCGCTCCCCCCGCAGCGGCGTGAGGTGCTCGGGGGCGGCCGGCCGGCAGCGGAAGAGCGGCGGAGCTGGGGCTCGGCCTCCCGCGCTCGCCCGCACACGGACGGGCCCCCCGGGCTGCCCGCGAGCCGCGTGTCCCTGCCCTGCGGAGCCGCCTGTGGTGCGGAGCCAGGTAAGCGCTGCCCGCCGGGCCCGCTGCCGCCCGGGACGTGCTGGGGGTTTGGTGAGGTGGCCCGGGACCCACTACTGCGGCCTTTCTGCGGCTCTTTAAGTCATAGCTTTGCGTTTGGGTTTTGTTTAGCTTTTATTTAGCTCCAGCTGTGGGATGAGCACCTTTTTGGCAGAGGGCGCAGCCCCTCACAGCCATTTTGTGAAGCAGTTTATGTCTCAGTATCGCTTCCATCAGACATATAAAGCTTGAGAAATAAGCCTGTTTGGAAAAGGTTTAAGTAAGGTGGGCTGGGACAGCTGAGTCCCAGTATATATTGGCAACTGAGCACACCACCATAAACGCGATGGAGAGAAAATTCAGTAAAAAGGCTGTGTTGTGCTTTGGACTGGCCCAGGACTGCAGTAGTGTCTGAAGAGGAAGCCAAGCCTCACCTTTGCACGGTCCCTGGTTGCTTTGCTGTGTGCTGCTACTGAGTGATGTTGGTTACTGTTGGGAAATAGAGGTGGGCAGTAAAAACATTCAACCGAGTTTGAAGACTGGAATAGGGAATTGCCTTCCTGGCTGAGTGGTTAGGCTCTGCTGTCTACTTTAGGAGGGTTCAGTCTGTTCTGAGACTTTTCAGGAGTTTCTTGTGGAGATTCATCTGGAGGACTAAGAAAGTGGAGCCAGTGACACTATATTGACTCCACTGATACTATCCTCCTAAATTAAATGGTGGGAGAACAAGGCCTGCCTGTGAGATCAAAGTCAGGACCTACTTGATCTACCTACAATGTTTTAATGGCAGCAAGAGAGACCAAGTTAAAATTCATGTGTTTCTGTAGTAAAAGGTTGGTGTGTTTATTTTAAATCTACATTAAATGTATTCCAGGGCTATTGCATTGTCTCTTGCGTTTGTGCCTTTGACATGTCTCACCTGTTTGATTGCTCACAGGCCCTTTGTTCCCGGCTCCAGCACTGGGTGAGGAGGGACACTGGACATGCCTTGGATTAGGTAACCGGTTTGAAAACTGCTTTCAGCCTCAGAAACCTGTGTGAGATCATTGTGGTCTTCTGAAAGGGCTTCACGTGATGCCCTCCAGTGGCAATAATGTGAATTTGAAATCACAGGGAGTTGGGGAAAGGGATCCTTCTGGCCTGAACGGGTTTGGGCAGCCCTGGCAAAGTCCCCAGTTAGCTGCTGGGGGAGGATGGTTGGGGGTGTCCTGTCCTTTGGCAGTTCCTGCAGGGATGCATGGATCACTGCTGCACATGAGGACTGCCTGTGGGCTTCTGCTGGCCAAAACCAGAGCGTTAGGCATGAGCTTCTGTCCTTTGCAGAGGATGGATTTTACTGTGTGCCAGTAAATTCCCATAAGGAAAATGAACAAGGAAGAAAAAGACCCAGCTGATACCAGGAAAAATGCAGCTTGCAGCACATAATGTTAGAGACAACGACAACTCATTTTTAACTGACTGTTGCCCTGCCACATGATGTAGTTCAGCCAGAGTTCCTGTATACAGGCCAGAGGTAAGAACTGGTTTTGCCTCATCTGAGATACCTTTCAATGCAGAGAAATAGATCTCAGATCAACACAGTTATCCAAGCTGAGTGCTGTACCCAGAGTTCCAATGAACTGAATACAGCTGGTGAGTGAACTCTATACAGAGACATGTAGGGTTGGTGTAAACTTGGCTTAGTAGACCTTTGTAGTGGAAGTGGTGGGCTTCCTGTAAAGGATTTATGTAGAGATTGTTCAGAGCAACAGCTGGTTCTAAGAAACACACATTGTCAAGTTTCCTTTGCTGCATAAATATTTAAGTGATGGGGTTTGGATTCCAAAGGGAGGAAACCAAGGGTAGTTTGGCCTAGTGGCAATAAGTGAAGCTTTTACTAAACAGAAACATATAAACTCATTTCCCTTACTGTTTTTAACCTAGAAGCCAATTATTGCATTTTTTCTTTCTTTCAGATAGTTCTGCCACTGCCTTAGCAGTCCTGTGCCATGCCTGGTGATGACCATGGGGCCATTCTCCTGAGCAGACTGCTCTGTACTCAGCCACTGGCAGCATAACAACAGAGCTCTTTGGTACCTGTGGAGTCCCACTGCAAGAGTCTGAGCACCTCAAATTTGGCTCAGAAAATCTGCCCTTGCACAGCCAGCGAGAGGGTTGTGAATCCTGGGGACTTGACTGTTCAGTTCACCAACTGGAAAGTATTTTGCCAGGTTACAGCTATGGTTTGAGCACTTGCGGTGAAAGCTGGTGGTGGGTAGTGGAATCACGGGTTCAGCAGCAGCCTTTGTGCATTAGAGGCTCTGTTTGGAGGTTCAGATGTCCTCACACTTCTGTTCTGATACCTGTGTGTTATGCTCTTTCAGGTATCTACTTGAAAATAAGAGTGGGGCTCTCAGTTTTTGGCTGGTAGGGTAAAACATGTTCCAGTGGGTAGAAGTTGGACCCAGAGTCAAGGAGGACATTTTTCAGCAAAGAATGGTGCTATCTCACCACTTCCATCCCCTGCACAGGAGCTGTACCCTGGAGCTGCTGTCCCTGGGATGGCCATGCCAGCATCAGCAGGGCACACATGGCCACAAGCTGCTCTGCTCACTGGCAGACCAAGCACTGAAAGTCTGGCCTGCTTACAGCAGGTCTGACAAAGTGACCATAACAGCTTTTCTGCCCTGAAAATACCTTCCTTCCAGGTAGGTTAAGAACTGAAGCTGTGCTGGTACAGCTCAGTGTTGCTAAACCCATCTTCTGAGGCTTTTGAAACAGATAGCCAAGAGCAGCTGGTGCTAATCACTGCTGTAGGGACATCCTCAGCTCCTCTTTTTGTGGTTTCTAAAGGCCTATTTTGGCAAGACTTTTTAAAAGCTATTTGAGAAAGAAGAGACAAGCTTTTGACACGCAGTTCTATGTAAAATCTCTTTAGTTTTGCCAGTGGCATTTATTTGTAGAGACCCTGCATATTGTAGAGGCCACTGCTTGTTCCTGGTGATTCCCTAGAATGGAAACTTGAACCAATGATTTTTGTAAAGAATGTGCAATAAATCTCTGGAAAAGCTTCTCTGTTAATGATTCTTGATTGAGTTCAGGTAGTTTTGACATACATGGATGAGGCTGTTCAGAGCTGGCCAGGCCTGCTTGACAGTCAGGGCCTGTCTTGATTGATGTCTGGAAATGAAACCCAAACAAGAATATCTCAGCTGCGTGCTGGGCCAGAGTCCTTCCAGCCTCACTGGACACCCACAGCTTCTAGGGCACAGCATGGAGTGGAATTCTTCCATGCTGAGGGGGAGAACACATCTGTGAGTGTGGAGGAAGGGTACACCCAAGTGGAGGCGAGCATAGCTAAAAAGAGCAAAGCTAAAAGTGTTGCTTTAGGTTTTTCTATAAGGACAATCAAGCACTGCAAAAAGTCTGTCCTTTTTGAATGAATGAGAAGCATTCTGTAAAAATGGCTTAAATTTGAGACTGGAGTGCAGGCTTGGGTATTCCAGAAAGCCTCACTTGGTAGGCACTAACAGTTCACACACAGGGGAGGCGTATCTGATTAACTTGAGTCACAGACTTCATGTAGCAACAAGAACACTTGATTGGGAGATCAGCTTCATGGCTGGAGTGTTTTCAGCTCCAGCAGCTGTACAGTGATTATGCCTTTTGCTATTTTTGTTTTTCTTTGAGTTCTTAGCTTTTGAGTAGACTCAGAAGTAGAATTAGCAATTCTTTGGAACTGGGGAGTTCCCTAGGCTTCAGGTGGCTGTTGGGGGAACCTGTGATCCAGCTGCCACTGCTGTGGGGTGACAGTGTCACCTCTGAGAAGGAAGGTGTCCATTTCTAATAAGAATTCTGGGATCCTGATGGATCTTGTTACTACAGTGGCTTTTTCAAAGATCCTTCCCAAGAGGATGTAAACTAAGGACTCAGGCTTGGCAGGTGGTCTGGGTCAGGGTCACTTTGCTCTTACTAGGGGGAAACAGCTGGTGCACAGGGAGTATGGTGGTGCAGTTAATGCTGGAAGAGGGCATTGCTCAGGGCAGGTTACACATGGGTGTGGTAGCTGCAGAACACAGGCTATGGCAGGGCAGTCCATGGGGGTGTTGTAATTCCAGTATGTATCCTTAAGATACCAGGTGTTTCCAGTGCAAAGCAGGGGTGGACATAATGCTGGAAGTGTGAGTTGAATGTGTGAAGGTGTTGGGCAATATCTGCATTGAAAAATGACAGTCTGCAGTTCTCATAGTCCAGCAGGATGCCAATCCTTCTGGGGGGAACAGTAATTCTGATGTCAGGTGTCATCCCACTGTGCAGGAATTCATACTTGTGCCTGCAGGCAAGAAAAAGAGAAGAGCTGAAGGCACCCTGACTCTCAAAGGGAAGCACTTTGTGCACACAGGTGCTCATGAGAGTCAGAGGCAGTGGTGTTAATGTACCATGTCCAGGGGAGAGCCAGCAGAGCAGCTGAGGCAGGAGGGGAGCTGGCATTTCTGCAGGCAGGTGTGACATGCTGCCATAGGTAGGACAGAGATCAAAACCAGTTGAGTATACCTGGGTTTAGCCAGATATGTAGTTTTTGGATTACACAGATCTATTACGCTCTGTCTTCTCACTGAGGTTTTGATCATGTTTACAGCTAAATTCTGAACTGATTTTATTCAGGTTTGTTCCTGCAATTTCTTGTTTCAATGTGACAGTGTCTCGTTTCAATGAGACAATGTACCTTAGACCCTTCCGTTTGATTCACTAGCACCCTCGTAGTCAACAGAAATGGGTGCTTTGAAGATGCAAATCATTTGTTCCTGCAATTTCTTGTTTCAATATGAGTGTCTCGTTTCAATGAGACAATGTACCATAGACCCTTCCGTTTGATTCACTAGCACCCTCGTAGTCAACAGAAATGGGTGCTTTGAAGATGCAAATCTGCCAAAACACAAGTTCTGAAGTAAGAAAGTTGGGCAAAATAACCCATGCCAAATGCTTCTGAAACACCCTAAAAAAGCAGGTGGATTTGCTTAAGCAGTATCCTTCCAACACCAGTTTACAGGGACAGTGGTGGAATGTCAGAGGCCCCAGTGCCTGGTCTGAGCTGATCCAAAATCTCTGCCTTCTCTGCTGCCCTGCCTGCAGGTGTGAGAGTTGTTCCTGTTGGAGACCTGCAGCCTCCACAGCCCTTACCTTGAGGGTGTGATGATGTGCCTCATGCACCAGGATGAGTTGTTTGCCCCCAGGTGACCATGTCTTGGAGTGTTCTCAAAAGCCACACCAATTCTGTACTCTGTATCTTCCTCAACTTCCACCTCCCAGTAATGCTTTCCTGGAAATGGGATCAGACTGCCCAGGATGGCAATACATCTGTGGGAGACAGGAATATGTGTTTTGGCAGGGCCTCTCTATAATGCTCTTCAGTGTTTAGATGTGTTCAGGTGTGTCCATACCTGGACTTTACATAGCAATAAAGAAAAGCCACTTCTGCTGTCACCTTAGCAGTGCAGTGTGGATTTTTGACTCCAGTGAAATCCCCACACTGAGGAGCTGACACCCAGCCTGCAGGTTTCTTTGTGACACCTGCCCTGTTTTTACTTGTGGGTAGCTTTGTATAAATGAGTGCCCTAGGCACTTCCAGGAAGATGGAGGACAGCATCCCATAGTGCCTGGGTTTTCTGGGAAAGTTAATGCTTGTTAGAAAAGAGAGTGCTCTAGTGAACCCCAGCATAGCAGGGAGAAAAGTACAGATTTTGTATTTTCTTTCCAAACAGCCCAGGGTTTTGAAGATCACTCACAATGAGGAACTGAGCACTGTAACCGCATGAAGTTCCTGGGGCACCTGGGGAGGAGGGAACCTGTCTACACTGGTTCCCTCTGTGTTTGGAAGAATTGAACACAGTAGGAGAACTTGTAATATGCTGGGTACTTGGGCCATGAAATGTGTGATAGGAACCATGCAGAAAATAACTCTTTTGAAAGTTTTGTAGTAGAGACAAAGATAATGTATTACAGAGAGACCCTTCAGCTTGATTTACTGGCACAGTCTTGAAATCAAAGGAACTGGGTGCTTTGAAGATGCAAGTCTGCAAAAACACAGGTTCTAATGCAAGAAAATTGGGCGAAATAACCCACTCCAAATGCTTCTGAAACACTCAGGAGAGCAACATGGGTCCTGTAAGCTTACACCTCAGCTTTTTCTTAGGAAAGTACATGATGTATTAGCTGTCATTGTCAAGGGGGACAGCAGGTTTCAAACACACACAACTTTTATGTTTCTATGGTAGTGTATAAAGTTGTAAGTTACAAAGGAGAAGGATGTTGCTGGCAGACACTGAGCTCTTCTAGGCAATGCTGAGAGGGAGCTGCACTCATCATTTGGAGGGCCCATCCTCACATCTGTGGTGTGAGGATGGGCACACAGCACAATAGCTGTACTCTGCTTCTGCAGCTGCACTTGCTTAGAGCAAGTGTACACTTCATTGCAAGTGCATGTAAATGCCTTGGGAACAACTTAAAGGCTGCTGAAATCAGAACTCAGAGGGACTGTGTTGCTGCAGCCTGAGAAGGAAAAGGAATGATGCAAAATGGATGGGTAAACATCTGTGAACAAAACATGACCATAGTAATGAGAGCTGCAAAGCCACCAAGGCAAACCTGAGCTGCACTGAAGAAGCAGTTAGGAAATACATCAGCCACCCAAACCTAGGAGACCACACAAACTTCAGAAATAAGTATCTCTTGGTTTGAAGGAGATTTGTGACAGTTCATAGCGGTACCAAAACCTCAGCCTTTGAATGTGTCAGTTCTGGCTGTTTACATGAAACATAAAAGTATGCCATAGAAGTGGGATGAAATCCCATTTAAGATTACCATGATGGCTTTAATGAAAAGGATCACCAGTCTCCCCACTCTTTTCTACCAAGCCCTCTAGTAGCACTGCATTTCCATGGAGGGAATAAATGGTAGACTTATATTACCCTGCAATGCCTGCCCTGGTTATATGGTGTTTCTGTAGTTTTGACTGGAAATATGCAGTTTGGCAAGCTTAGTCTCTCACTTCAATGGAAAAGGGCCTAATTCTTTTTTGAAAGTGATACCTGTTGGTCCAAATAGTATCAGTTATATCTTTCAGCATGAGGTAAGTTTTCAGATCCCTCTCCTTTCCTTAGCATTTGTTATGGCACCTAAATACTTCTTCAAATTTAGCTCAGTATGCCAGACATGTAAGTAGGCTTGTACATAATTGTGGCTGCTGTATCTGTAATCCTATTTAAGAACTTGCATTAATTTCCAAGTTCCAAAGAGCAGCTGGAGAGAGAGATTTCAACTCAAAAAATTAATCAGAGCTGCTGAAAGCCCCATTAGATATTTCCTGGCATCTGTTAAAAGAACCAAAGAAACTGAAATGCCCCTGTATACCTTGTAAAGCTGTTATCATAGACAGGCAGATCACACTCTGGGTTTTCCAGTTCATCACATGAAATGGTAAATCCATCATCTAGAATTGCCAGTAAAGGATGGGCTGTGTCCTCATTAAGGTAGAAGCAGGTGCCTGCAAGAGAAAATGCCTAAGGATAACTCCAGTATCTCCTTATAACATTAGAATTGCAGCAAGGGTGTGATGAAATGTTATTTGGATCCACAAAAGGATTCACCAATGCTCTTGAAAGAATCTGTGGCTGGCATTGAGAGGACAAGATGATATTTTTAAAATTTTTCTAACAAAAGGCTGCTTTACAGTTTAACGCTGTTTAGTTTCAGCCTTGTGAAAAGCAGGAGACTTAGCCTGGTTTTGAACCCTACCAGGGTTCAAAGCTGCAGGCATTGTGCAGGAAGTAGCTATTCAGAGATGAGGAGTCCTCCCTGCAATGGGCTGTCTGGTTTCAAGTAATCTATTTTTAATCACTGACATGAGAAAGGGGGCTTAAAGGACTCTCCATCCCCATCCCCATCTCCATCTCGCTCATCCCCATAAATTCTTGGCAGTTTGAAGAGCAAGGATCCCTCAGGCTTCAGCACCTCCCTTGTCAGTCCAGCCCAGGATAGAAGTGCTTCTGCCTTTCTTCCTGCAGAGACTTC